AAATATGCTTAGTCTGTTCAAAAATCTTCCTAAAAAGTTATTTCTTGTTGTTTTCGAATATATTAAAATCGGTATTATATATATCTATCAATGTTTCTGAAGACTCAATAATTGATTTGATAATCTTGCCCAATTCCACAATAATCTTTTGTTTGTAATTGAAAAGATAGAGCAAACATCAATTACAATATTCATTTCTTCAATTGTCTGATTAGATATTGTCACTAGTATAAAACTGGTTAAGGTTGATTTTCAAATTTACAATTATTTACAACATGTCATGCTACTCGTATTTAAGTTACGTAAATTTGATTTGATGTCATTTACAATTTTATCCATTTGTCGTTTTCATTAGCCTTGAATTTTGGATCATCAGCTCATATTTATTCACGATATTCTTTTTCCAACGATTTTTTTTTATTTACAACATGTTGATTTGGGCCGTACCAATGTACTTTAGACACCTTCATGATCTTTATCACCATATGATCATTTTGTATGCGTTTTTTCTCATGAACCAATCATTGTCTGATTCATTTTTGATACATGTCCACACCTGCGTAAGCTGCAAGTTCTATTTTTTATAATAATCATTTGTATTGATTTTTCTACTTTGTGCTTGAGCCAGTCTCTTATGAAATTCACCATTTGTTGTTTCATATGATGCTCCATCTTTGAATTATATTAACTTTCCTCTCGCTTATATACGCGAGGTTGAATTATTTCATTTAGCATTATTCGAAATGTTGCTCATTTATCTTCATATCAACGATATTGACATAATTCGAGCAAAATAATGATGTTATCATCGGATATAATTTATCAGCAAAAACTATAGTGTCTGACATTTTTGCAACTTTCTGCATTAGACGAGCAGCGATGTGGGAACTATTTTTACTAAGATATTTTTTTGACATACAAACAAAGTTTTAAAAATAAAAGCTCTCCACTTACAAAAAAACGAAAGTTGTATATCTCTCATAAAAAATAGGATGCTTGGGCCCACTACACAACAGATATCATAGTATCGATAATCTCAATATCAAGATTTATAACATGCTTATTATCATAACGACCTTCATGCTTAAACTGTCAAGTATATCGGTAGAGTTGATGATCTTGAGTTAATGCAAGGGAGGAAGTGTGGGTGTGCGCGTACTTTTTCCCTTTATCCATATCCACACCTATACCCACATCAGAGATGTCCATCGCGTTGCTGCTGCCGCCACGGTCGTGATTGGCGGCGCGACAGCAACACGGCATGAGCTTTTACAGAAATTCATTGTGGAATCTCTAGAAAACATTTACCTTCATAGCTTAACTTAAACTTATCTTCCAAATAAATTAGACACATGAAACTTTTTATGCTCTCTAAATCTTGCATTTTACGACGATTTTATTGCGTGGGAAACTGATTGAAGTTTTAAGTTTATCCAAGTTAAATATTCATCTCTATATTATTTTTCTTTTTTAATTATACATCTTAAACACTCTAATCATCTTCAAAGTTACATGAATTTTCATTTTTCTTTGAATTGAAGCTATTACGTGAAAAGTTAAAAAGCTGCCATTTTCTTCAGACTCTTTCGTTGTTTCACGAAGAACTTAAAAAGTCGATGCGATATTTGGAGTTATACTTATTCTATATGTACTTAGAAGTCCTTTGTTACTGTAGCAGTTAAACCTTTATTTATCATTGATTTTGAGTGAAAACTAGACAGTATGACTACTGAAGACCGACAAATAGTATTTTTTCTTCATGTAGTGATAGTAGCAGTGTTGTAACCTTTTGTTAAAATATCGCTGCGACAGCGACAGATTTTCAGCCGCGATGAACATCTCTGATCTACACGCACTTACACATTTTTACTATTCCTTATCGTTTAAATTACTGTGTTACTTCATTTAGAATAATTGATTTTCTATGTTGCTGGATTTTGTCAATAATATCTTGCTATTGATTAGTTCTGTGGATAGATCCACAAATTACGCAATTTGAAATAGTTGACTTTGCTGAGAGTCGATAGTTTGAAAATTTCACGTGTTGTTTGAATAGTTTCAATAAGTTTTTGAGTAGACACAAAGTTATTAAGGGCACATATCAAATGGAACCAAAGCCTATCGAATCAGCATAACAACAAGTAGAGACATAGAATTGCAATACTTTACGTCTACCGTACAAAAACTAAAAATCAAGTTAAATATTTTCATATTGCAATGCATTTTCTTTCAGTTGTATACGTTTTTATTAGGATGATTTGAAAAATTGTATTAGTTGGGCTTTTGATTATCGAGAAAATTAAGGAAAATCACACCAAGATAGGTTAACGGAATTTTTCTGCAGCTGAATTTGAATTGATTGCCATTTTGTTTATTGTTTTCACCGTGTATGCACGACGTTGCTTTGATGATATGAACTGATAACGTTGCCGTTACTAGAAGCATAATAAGAATAATGCCATTATGCCGTGCCCGTTAGTCATTGATGGCAAAAGACTCCATAATAATGTGATCTATTAACACGCAGCCATTTGTGTCATACAAGTGTGACGCTAAAAGAGACAGATATAAATGAAAGATATGAAATATTATAATTTTATTTGTGGTGCCGCTTGACAACAGCTGCAGAATTTTATTTTCTTTTAATCGCAGGGCAATATGGTGTTTCGAAATATAAAATTTGGATTTCCTTATTTGTATGCAAGCGGTGTCAGTATTGGATCGAATGCTTCATCATGAAGTTCTGGAGATTCATAATTCCAGCACGCATGCCCTAGTTGGCGACGAAACGAAGTGTTCTTCACTGATCAAACAAGACATCAATTTGGCAAAATAAGCGCCCGAATGCAAGTAATGATAAGGATAATAAGAAATTAAAAAACTGACAATTTAGATCTTGACGATCAGTAATTTCCTGTAACCTGTCCGTAGTTAATGCAGACCTTATGTGCCGAAGATTGATAAGTTGCACATAATTTTCACGGTCCAGCATTTCTTGATTTCATTCAAGTACATGTGGTTACTCAATACTATGAAGAAATATAACATCGATGGTTGATTCTGCGTCAGCTGCTTCTTCTTTCTGTGCTAGAATGTTGACTTATTTTTGTTTAAAGATATCCTTCCTGAGAAAGTCTCGGATTTTCTGCTAGAAAATCAAAAAAGTGATAAGCTTTTATTTTGCTGACTCGTACTTACTCCTAATTTTCCTCGCGCCACATCAGTCCTCGTTATTATCTGTTCCTTCTGTTCTAACGAGAGATACGAATTTACCATGAGTAGCTCCATTAGATAACAGATTTGGATGTTGGTGAAAAATTACAACAGCAACATCGAGTACAGCACTCACATCGACACTCACCCTCACCCGCCATCCACACCCACTTATTCCCACCCACACCCACATGGAATCATAAATTCATTCTGTAATTTTAATACAATACTTTTTGAAATTCTCAGCATAGCCATTAATCGAGCACTACAGTTATATGAAGAAATTGACAGACCTGTTTCCTCATTTTCCACAAATGTAATAACATGAAATATTAGCTTCTTTATTTGAATCGAAAACTAGACGTCTGGCCGCAAGTCATGTGTGGGTAAAAATAAATGTAGTAAATGAATGTTTGATAATACTATAAAGTGCATACAATTCACATGAATGCTCAACACAATGATTTTTAGAATATTCGATACCACAGAAGACAAATGAAAACATGGCAACCAACTTCCAATTCAAAAGCAGATATACTTTATAATATCGCTGGTTCAGCAAGGCTTCTATATAAGGTTAACTGGTTTTTGATCAAAAGAAGTTTTACAAACAATCTGCTTTTATTTGATTGTTTTGCTGAAACTAAGTTGACATATAAGATAGATAGTTATGTATGTAATACATTTACAAGCTGAATAGTTATTCATAGCACATCCTATCACCCTGCTTAGTTGACCATACGAATTTTAAACACACTCTACTATAACAAGGGATAAAAATTTACTCTCAAATTAAAATAATTATCCGTTCACGGATCGAATAGAAGATAGATGGAACCTGTCGAGATTTCGATCGATCAGTACCAGCACTATTCTGATAAAACCAGATCAGTAACTGATACCGGTTACATCTCTAGAGCCGGAACTTCCTTTTATTTAAAAGGTATTAGAAATGGAGAAGGCAGTTATTTGAGCTACATCTAGAAGCATGCATCCGAAGTCTCTTTAGCTAACGTGTATGTCGCAGTCGAAAATGTATTCGAATTACATAGAATTATTATGGATTTTTGTTGAAAAGATTCTCAAAATCATGGATCAAACAATTATTTACCTTCCATAACGATATATTGAAAGACGTGCAAACTCTGAAATTTTCGATTGATGAAAATTGCGGATCACTAGCTATTATCGTTCTTTGTAGCGATGTTCCATGTGAAGACTATGAATACCATATCAGAGATTACCATTGGTGTTTCGAGATCACCAAGAATGGAGAGAAGGGCGACGATTGTTGCAAGAATTGGTGAGCGAAAGAAATCAAGACAATCGTTCAATTTCGCTGACAACAAAAAGACTGAGAAAGTCACTGTCGACACCTCTTCTCTAGCTTGAAATATTCATGAGCATTAGAAACATTAATACAATATCGAAATTTGATTGAGTACAGCAGCCATCTTCATTGTCAGTAACTATGGAAACGTCTCTATATGAAGAAAAAGGTAATTGATTTATCAAAATGCATAAGTGTGTTGTTAGATGAATACTGGATAATTGCATTTAATAAATACTTTTTTAAAATTGGATTCAATAAGAAGTTTAATTATTTATATAAAATATTTTTCAACTGTCAAAAAAATCTTGATAGAGGCATCTATCTATTAATTATCATGATGGCTATTGACTAGTGGCTATCTCTCTGTCTCTATATCGTATATTTGTTCATTCATTATTCTTGTTTTTGTGTCTTAACTTCCGGTCAATCGATCAATAAGATTAATGCCGATGAGATGACAACAAAAGTTCAATGGAAACGGCTTGATGGTACCATCGGCCAAAATCCCAAACCACGTCATGGTCATCGAGCAGTAGCTGTCAAAGATTTAATTATTATATTTGGTGGTGGTAATGAAGGCATTGTGGAAGATCTCAATGTTTATAATTGTAGTAAGTTTTTTAAAGCACATAGAATAATAAATTTTTTAAAATTCTACAATGAATCATCTTTATTTATTTAAGCTACAAATCAATGGTTTCAACCATTAATGAAAGGTGATGTACCAACAGGTTGCGCTGCTTTTGGTTTCGCAACTGATGGTCAACGAATTCTTGTATTTGGTGGTATGGTTGAATATGGAAAATATTCAGCTGATCTTTGGGAATTGAATCCAATTAAATGGGAATGGAAAAAATTAAAACCACGAGCACCTCGAACAGCTCCTTTACCGTGTGCTCGACTTGGTAAGTTTGATAAATATTGTTTTTTTTTTTTGTTTTCATCATTTATTAAATACCCTAGGACATACGTTAACATATGCTGAAGGAAAATTTTACCTATTTGGTGGTTTAGCTAATGATAGTAAAGATCCAAAACAGAATGTTCCTCGGTATGATATGAATAAAAATAATCTAACAAGAATTTGCTTAACTAATAGTTTTAGATATTTAAATGATCTCTATGCACTTGAATATAAAGGCAATAATTGTGCTTGGGAACAACCTATAGTTCGTAGTACACCACCAACTGAACGTGAATCCCATTCATGTGTTTTTTATCGTGGTCAAATCGAAAATCGTCCAAAATTAATTATCTATGGTGGAATGAATGGTCATCGTTTAGGAGACCTTTGGAGCTTTCATCTTGGTAAGAAGAAAAATAAATGAATATATATTTTTTTTCTTTATTTATTTAATGAAAATAGATTTCTCACAATGGACACAAATAACACCATCTGGTTTAGCTCCACAACCACGTAGTCTTCATTCAGCTGTTGTTATGGGAAATCGGTTAGTTGAATCTTTATTTAATCCTTTTTTTTTTAAATTCTTTTAATTATTAGAATGTTTATATTTGGTGGTTGGGTTCCATTAGTTATATCGGATAAAAATGATCAATACGCAAATGAAAAAGAGTGGAAATGTACGAATACATTAGCAGCTTTTAATTTAGGTAAAAGAATTCTTTTTGCCTTTTTTTTTATTAAAACAGAATATGTTATTTCTTTTCTTTTAGAAACAAATGCTTGGGAACTTCTCGGACAAGAATGTCTTGATGATAATGTACCACGAGCACGTGCTGGTCATTGTGCTGTTACTGTTAATACAAGAATGTATATTTGGAGTGGACGTGATGGCTATCGAAAAGCTTGGAATAATCAAGTAAATAAAAATTTATTTCAGCTACAATTTAAAAATTAAAAGAAACATTTTCTTCATAGGTTTGTTGTAAAGATTTATGGTGTTTAGAAACAGCATGTCCAGGTGAACCAGAAAAAGTGCAATTACTTAAAGCAGGTATCGGCAATTTGGAAGTGTCATGGAATCCTGTTCCGACTGGTATGTTCATTGTGATAGAAATAATTTTAATAAGTTTGAAATTATTTGTTTGTATTCTAGCTGATTCTTATATATTACAAATTCAGCGTTTTGAAGCACCAGTGGAGCAACCTCCACCAACACCTCCTGTTCTTCCGGTTACATCTCAACCACCACCAATACATCCTCCACCTCTGCCATTACAATCAATATCGGCTTCACTTTTTGCTTCGAAAAGTCCGCAATCAGGTTAAAAAAGAGAAATCTTTTATCAATATAAATTATAAATATTTATAATTTAGTTCTTGCATCATTAATTCCAACATTTTCAAATGGTAAAATTAAATTTTATAAATAAATTTCATTGAATGATTTCATTTTAGAACAACAATCATCAAGTGTATCAGTGTCAGCTATTTCGGATACAGGTAAATTAAATTTCATATTTAACATTTTGAGGAATTGATATGGTATTTTGGAAAGATAAATACAGCTAATGCAAGTTTCAAGTCGAGATTTTTTAGTTTCTTCTCATAGCAAAAGAGGAAAGAAGAAAGGTCAACAGTCATTCAGTACATTTCAACAGCAACGGAAAAGGTCTTTGTTGCTTTTCCTGAAGAGCTCTAGTTTTCAAGCGAAATTATACTTTTTAATTTTAACCTGAAATATTGTCTGTATAAAGATATCAATTAGACTAGCATGTAGAAGAAATTTCAGAATTTTTCGACCAAGTCTCTCTGGGATATTAATCTTCTAAAATAGAGATGCTTCATTATAATTATTGTATAACACATGGTTATTTCGAAATGTTCATAACTTAGAGATGATTGGTGAAAAATTTGCTGTAATTTTTTCTACTACAAGCTAATCTAATCAGTACCTTTATGTAGGCAAAGTTCCAAAGTATGATTTCTCTATCAAAGGTTCGATCGTTCAAAAACAATAAATCTCACAGAGACTTCTCGTAAATTTATCAATATATATATATACAGTGAAGCTCAAAATTAATCATAGACCTAGCCAATTGAATTGTAGTGTGTTGTCGACATGTAGTCCCACTTGTATATTTTATTAACTCCATGTACTATATATTTACTCTGTCGGATCACAGATCCCAAATCTGATGTTTTTCGGTTCCACTCAAAATTGATCATTTATCATACGCTAACATTTACGAATGTAGTACGACTAAGAATATCGTATTTTATTTTTGACTGAGCAATTACGTTTTTCAAATGTGTCTTTCTGTTGAAAAGAACAAAATGTAAAGTACAATATTTAGCCATACTTGCATCTAGGGTGTAACAAATCTTGAGTATCACTTAATGATAGTGTGTTGAAACCTACCGTAGATATAATAGATATGTACAAGAGGTTCTTTTTCTAATTATGTTGAATTGATAAAAATAACAAAACAAAGAAAACTTCGAGTAGCAGTAAACAACTTGTGTTCGAAATGCAGAAGTAAATAAAACGAATGATTTTCCTAGTAATGAATTATCCTTAGAAAAAGACTATGCTAAAGAACACATATGAGTTCCACACGTTAACACCAAATAGACTAAGTTGAAGCAGCTCTCTTTTCAATGATAATATCTAGATGGTGTTGTCGATCAATGTCTTTCATCAACAGCAACAACAACTCTAAATAAATCTACATCAGATTTACTTTCATTAGCTCATTTATCATCATCATCACAAACACCATTTTCATCGTCAATTAGTACAGTTAATGCCCAAACTTTACCAAATGTTTCTATATCACCTTCGAACAGTATAAATAATTCGTCATTATTTCAAAAAACTATACCTACAACTATTTCTTCATCTATACAACATAATCAACCAACAACATTATTTAATTCAACGCAAAGTTAGTATTTTAGACGAAAGGAAAAAGTTAATCAGAAATGTTTTCTATTTTAGCCGTTCGACCAGCAACAACATCAAATTTTCAATTTGTTAATACTAATTCTACTAATGCATCAAATACTGTTCGTCCAATAATCTTTCATCAAAAACCATCAACAAATTCTTCACAACCACAACTTCTTACTGTTATGCCTGCCGGTGTACGTGTTCAACAATTAACACCTGTTGTACGTGGTTCATCAACTCAACCAACAACAATTGTTCGTTTAATGTCACCAGCAACAACAACTGTTCGACCAGGAATGGGACAACAACAAATTATACAATTAAATACGAATAAACAACAACAACCATTAGTTATTAAAGCAATTACCGCACAAACATCTAATCGACAACAACAACCAATATTATTAGCAGCAAATACACAACAAAAAACGATACCATCACATTCTCAACAGCAAGTATTAGTTTTTAATCAGAATACCTTTTCAACTACAAGTGGACACCAACCAAAATTTACATTACAAATGAAAAATATTGATCAATCAATTACAACAACAGTTAATACAACTACAAATATTGATAATGGTCAACAAGAACCAACACATGACAGTGGAATTCCTCAATTAGATGGAACTGTTGATGATCATGTAAATATTTTCTATGAAAAAGAATAAATTTATTATTATATTTTTTTATTTTTAGTCACTGCAAAACGGTACAACTGGTAAGTAGAACTAAACAAAAAGAAAAGATTGATAATGTGTCCTTTTATTTTAGATGTACGAAATTCTTCTAGTCCAGCACAGCAACAATCAGCAACAGACTTCGGACAAATAATCAATGCTGGATCACAACAACCATTAAGTAAATAATTAAAACAAACTGATTTACGAATAAATATTTTTATATTATACTTTCTGTTTAAAAGATAATCATGAAAATTTACAAACAACAATAAACGGTAATTCAAAAAGTGATGTACAACCACAAACAGTTTCAAATGATTTAAAATCGTCAGAAAATGATGATAATGATGGTTGGCATTTAGTTGGAACATTTAAAACAACAACAGTTGATATTAAACATTATTATGTTGTTCCATCAAAAATTAATATCGATAATTATGTATGTATTTTAGCTGAAATTCAAATATTTATTTGTGATGATTTGAAGAGCTTGAAGAAAGATTAACAGTTAGAGCGTATGTATGGGCCGAAATGACGGGAAAGTAAAAAATGTAGTAAGATCACATTCTGGTTTGCGCCTTCACTCTCCAGGCGTGCATTAAGAGATGTGCGTGATCACACGAAAAAAGAAGTGTCTGGAACGTGGATTACGACGATGAGCGAAAAGTTATTCTATTTAGAACTAAAGAATATAGTTAAACATTCAAATAGTTTTAAGCGAATTAACTTATAAATCATAATATGATTCAACAGGGATGACCCGAAATAGTTCTAGTTGTCGACTAAATAATTTAAAAAACGAACTATTGAAGAATTTTTTAGATATTATACAATCTCTGAAATAGTATTCTCAAAATCGGAACCGGTGGCAAAAAAATACTGGCATCGGAACCAAAAAGACTTGGTTCCACACATCATAACGTGTAACTAACGGAGAGTATGACACTATCTACTTCTAAAATTCGTCAAAGCACATCCCGTTCCTCTACTTTTGCAAATTATCCATGTAACGCCTCTTTTTCTGGAATTTTGCGCGCGCCTCCCGCTCTGCGTCCAACGCTGAATTACGCCTCTCTGAGACTTCCCCTCTTCATCTGATTATTGATATTTCTTTAAGTTATTCGATTCATCAACAACAAAATATTTTTATTTCGTCCAGTCAAAGTTCGCATTCGAAATTTGACGCGATAAATATTCAATTGAATTTAATTTTGACCATAACATATGTATAATTTTTGTTTTTTCTAGGATCTTGATTCCCTTCAAGTGCATAATTTAGTAAAAAAAGTTGATCTTGAACCAGGTGTTATCTATAAATTGCGTATAGCAGCTGTAAATGCATGTGGTCGAGGTCCATGGAGTGAAGCAGCAGCATTTAAAACATGCTTACCTGGTTCACCACCAGCACCATCTAATATTAAAATCACAAAGGTATAGTTTCGATATAAACTTATTTTCTTTTTTTCTTTCATAATCGAAAGTTTGGGTTTTTTTTTTCTTTAGACATCTGATGGCGGTGCTCATCTAACTTGGGATCCTCCATCGAATGCTTCACCGTTAATTACTGGTTATGCAGTCTATTTAGCAGTGAAAAATTCAGCAACAGATAATACAATACCACGTCAACAACAACAAGCATCACAAATGGCTTTTGTTCGTGTCTATGGTGGTGTATTAGCTGAATGTTCAGTAAATGCTGCACAACTTCATCAAGCTCATCTTGATATAAGTACAAGTAGTAAACCAGCTATTATATTTCGTATAGCAGCACGTAATGAACGTGGATATGGACCAGCAACACAAGTTCGATGGTTACAAGATCAACAACAAACACCATCTAATCATTCAACGACAAATAATTCATTAAAACGAACTGGTTCAAATACAAATTCTTCAACATTAATAACAAAAAAACAAAGAGTAGCACCTGGAGGAGGAGTATCAAATGATGGTTAATACATTTCATTTGTGTGTGTGTTCACTTGTAAATATTTTATTTGCCGCTTTTGTTTATTCTATTAAAAAAAGGAAAAAAACATTCTGTCCCATCTCTATTAGATTTCTAAACTAACAACATACATATATCTTATTATTAAAAGATGAATCTATGTATGTTTTTGTGCTCGATGATGATATATTAAACTATTAGTTGACCGAAATATTTTTTTTCTTCTTTCTCTTTCTTTTTGTGAAAACTAGAAAGGTGGCAAACAAAATTGTTGTTTTCTTCTGTATTTGTTTCTGATATGAAGATCATTTTGTGTTGTACATATATAAATATATATAGTTTCATCATCCACATAACATATACACACAAACATACACACACATTTTGTCATTGTTTTTTTTTTCCTTTTTGTGTTCATGTGAAAAATAAAAAGGACAGCCAAGAAGTAAGAATTTATTTTATTATTCGTGTGTAGGAGTGAAAGATAAAAGAAGAACAAGAGAGAAAAAAGAAATATTTAATATTGCTTATTAAGTTAATGTGAGGTGTCACCTATTTGAAATGTGAGAAATCTTTTTTGTGTTGGTTTGGATAAAGCTCGTTGATTTATTTTCAAAAATGGCGCTTTTGACACATCCGAATCATGACTTTTTTGAGTGCAAATTAGATTTTAAAAAAATCTGATAAGTCTATAAAACTGAAGTATGCCATAGGCATTAAGTCTCGACAGTCTCAACATGCATTCGATATGTTTTTACCCGTCATATATAGAGCAAAGTAGAATTATGGTTCATTTTGAAAAAATTTGTTTTATTGTTGAGAAAATCAATTTTTTTGATATGATAACAAAACATCGTAAGAATGAGTTTGTATTCAGAGATGTTGACTATCAGAACTTCGATACCAAATGAAACCAATATCAACAGAAATATCTACAACGAATAGTATACTCAATTCTTCAAAAAAAACCTTCAGTGTTTACACCCACTTACTGTTATTTTCGAATAATCTGACCTGCACTTCCACTAAGATCGAAATCTAACGAAAATTAGTTTTAAATATTGACTATACTATCCAATGGATGCGAGTATGAGTTTGTTATTATATCGGTTTTCTTAACAATAAAACAGTATTTTTTCAAAATGACGCATAATTTTTTTCCTAGCCTTCTGACGAGTAAAATAAAATATCAAATAAATATTGAGAGTGTTGAGACTTCATGATTTTGGGATATTCCAGTTTTATAGATTTCTGACTTTTTTCAACGGAAATTTCGCTGGAAAAAAAACATCGAATGTCAAAAAACAGAATTTTGATAAATAAATGTATGAGCCCTCTTCAACCATGAGAACAAAAAGGTCATAAAATTGATCAAATTGGGTACTGTGAGTTTTTATATTGATATCGTCTCTTATTTTAATCGATTTGCTAAGTTTTCAGCTTGACTAATTTCTTCAGCAAGTGCTGTAGCATGAATAGAACTTTTGGTACGATTGATTGCTTCATTTAAACCTTGTGGTTCTTGTAATAACATTGCTTGTGTTAATTCTATTAATAAAACATCGAATAATCAAAAACGAAATTTATTTTTTGTTATTTACCTTTTCTATATGTATCAATATCACTTAATTTTACTCCCTCATACACAACATATTGTCTTCCTTCCAATTGATATTGATGTACATCTTTAGGATGATCAGCATAAAATTCATTAAGTATACGTTGATCAACAGGTGATGTGGCTCGTTCGATTTTGTCATATCTTTTAGTTGCTACACTTGAATTTTGTCCATTAATATTTTGCGTCTGACGAGGAATAAGTGTTTGTTTAGTAGCTAATGGAAGTGAAGTATTTAGATTTGGTTTAGTAGTTGGCGTGGCATGTACACGATCTTGACCATCATTTCCTACAAGTAATTCAATACTGTTATCTAATCACAATATCGGAGAGTAGAGATAAGCAAAATAAAACATAGATACAAATCAATTTATTCTTTTAGATAATTCCAATTTCGACACAAGTAAACTAATTCATGTCTGTGGAAGTTTAGAATAGAGACTAAAACTGGTCTAATTTATGTCTAATTGAGCATTGAAGCAAGAGACTATCAGTAACTAAGTGGTTTATAGTATAGTAGCAGACTATTTTAAACTTGTAGACTGTGGTAGAGAATAATTTTAAGTTCTATGTTGACTAAAGTTTCGATAAACCTGATATCAAAACGGAATCCCTTTTCGACTGAGATTTAAAAAAAGTTGTTCCAACTGATCTCTAGTTCGAACTTGTTTCTGATGTTATATTCTGCTATTTCATTATTTCTATCTCGATAATACTGTATAAGTATACATAAAAGCCCTGAAATAGTTCGTGCGATCACATCTTTCTCTTCAGGTAATAGTTATTTTACTGAACTTTCAGCCTATTGCAGGATATTACGAGAAAAACTGTAATAAGAAGTTTCAACTTGAAATTCTCCCCAGCAATAGTACTCACGATCTTTATGATATCCTGAAAGTTGCAGCTCAAACGAATGATTTCTTCTTCAGATATCGTATGCCTAAAATCTAGGATATTTCCAGAGTTCTTGTATGAAAGTAACATTTCATGGGAAACGTATTATCTCGGAAGAGAAACATTTACTCGAGCTCAAACCTCCAGGATACCATAAGAATTATGAGAACTACTGCTAGGAAGGCTTTCAGACAGAAACTCGTTGTTGCGATTTTTCTCGGGATATACTGCAATAAACTGAAAGCTCAATAAAATGACCATGACTCGAGAAGAAAGGTCTAATACTACAAATCATTTCAAGATTTCATCTATGTTATGACTCATACCTATAAGCAATATATGAGTTCAAACAGAGATTATCAGTCAGATGTGTTTTCCCTTATAAGTAGTCCTGACAACGTTAATACATCTCGATTCAAGGGATACATTAAATCCATTGCCATAAATTGAATATTTATTACCTATGAAAAACAAAATACCATTAACGAATACAATCGATACAGCAGCAATTAATCCAGCTAAAAGTGATGCAATAATATCTAAAATAATAATAATATAACTCTTAATTAAGATCTGTTAAATATATTAATTTACCCTTATCAAGATTAGTTGGTGCTAATGAAATATATGCTGAACAATATGCAATACAAAGAATAAGACCAAGCATTAAAAAGAATTCAATGACTATTGATACAATTGCCATAATCATACATGACATCCATTTTTGTACTGTAAAAAATAACAGTTTCTTTGTTTTATTTCTCATGAAAATAATTTTCACTTACCACGTGTACGATTCGATACAAGAATTAAAATATCAATAAGAAAAAGTGCACTTGCTATAGAACCAAGTATAACTATAATTAACGGTATTTGTATAATGTCTTGATCTAAAGAGAAAAAAAAACAAAGAAATTATTTTTTTTTATAAAATATAAATTTTCTATTCCATACATTGTACGCCCCATAAAATAGCAAATGCAATAATCAACATAAATGATAATATAATAATTGATATTGTTAAAATAACTGTAAATTTATTAATATTAAAATGATTACTTAAGTAAAGAATAAAGCAGAAGAGTATGAGCCAATTGAGAAGTAAAATAGAATATGTCCACCAATTTGCATAAACGCCTCCATATGAATTGGCACATACATCAGTACCTGATAGACGGCCACTCAATGTATTTTTCGTTTCTTTTTTCATTCCATACGTTGCTAAATTGAAAAAGATTTGTAAACAAAAATCAATACTTTGCATTAGATATAAACACGATAGGACCGTGACCAACACTTTTTCATTGGGAACAGCACCTTTCATCATAGTATAAAATTTGCATATCCTCATGACTCATGTATTCTAAATACATATGGGCAAGATGACAACGGTCCGGCTAAACTAAGATCAAATTTTTTTTGACTAAGACCAACAACGACTGGTCCTGTTGATGTCTATTTTGAATACAAAGCTTACCTATTACACATGGAGCTGGTAATAAAGTACTACACAAATAATTAGTGACACATTGTAAAGTACCATCATACGCTGCACAATGAGCTCCAATGGCTACTTCATATGTACTATTCGGACACCATTTAATGACTGAATCATCAACTGTAGATCCATCAAGCCAATGCCAATGAGTATCATGAACTATTTATTTAAAAATTTACATATAGAATAAATATCAAATTACATTTTTTTTTGTTGAAATAAATAATATAAATTTTCATCAAGAATACTCTTAAATAAAGCAACCGTTTTCTGTTATTCATCTAGGTTGGATTTCTTTTTCTTCTTATATATCCAGTGTATCTTTACGAGAAATTTGTATACTTTTATTATAACAAGAATGCTCAATTAAGTTTTCGTGCAGAGCAAAGAAAAATTGAAAATCTTTTTGTTTAAATTGAAATATAAAAACAATAAAAATGATAATTTAACATTTCCTTGATAAAAAAAAATTGTTTTATCTATGTTTAAGAGGACTTTCTGGCACAATAATTGGTTTCCTCCTCTTTTCACTCGGGCAAATGAAAAATTCCTTCTAGTCAAAAAAGAAAGGCGTTGTCGGAGGCGTTTTTTACTCTAGATTTCATGTTTAATCTCTAATAATATATTTTTTCTGGTTTCATGCTAAAATATCTATAAAAAACCGAGTACTAGAAAAACTCATTCATGCAATAACTATCACGTTGACTTACATGATGCAAAATTATTTGCGCCTATCCAAAAAGAATCTTTGTCGCCAATATTTGCATTTTTTAAATCATTAAATTGTTTCGTGGAAAATATTTGAATCAATAGTCCGTCAATAGTTTTACTTAAACATTGATTATAAGCATCGGACCATGTTAAAGATGTTCGTTTATAATAATAACAGAAATTTGTAACATTATCGTTAGTAAATGGACTGGAACATTGACTAATTACTATTAAAAGAATAATTTACTTAGCATATATATATATGTATAAAAATTTTTTTTGCTTTATACTTTGTTCTATGTATCCAATCGTGAGAAGAAATAGTATAAAATTCAACTTAGATAATGTCATATTTTACATGAAAGCAAACGTACGCATATTCTTTAGTTATTTTTATTACCGTCACTGGCCGTTGTCATCATCTTGTGTGATATATTTTGTTTCTTGGTATCTAACAAATAGAAAGATTTTTCAGTCCGTCAGTTTTACTCAGTTTTCTCTTCTCTCTTTCTTTCTCTATCTCGTTCTATCGGTATTCTGCTAGCTGATAAAAAGACTTATTAGTTTTCACAGATGTTCTTTTTCTCATCCGCTCGTTTATTTTTATGAAACGCTGACGTCTCTCTTTTTTTTTCTTTCCGTGGTGATTCGTTGTCTATTTATTTGCGCATATACCTGAATGCCTCATTATGTTTTCAGTATAATTTTTTTTCTTTGCATTTATTTCTACAGAGACACATGATAAGATCTTGCATTAAATTTCAAACAATACGTCGTTCAATTTTCTACAAAAAAAACTACATGAAAAAAAATCTTTTTAATGTATTCTAATGTCGGTTTAGGGAATTGCAAGAAAAAAAATCATATGAAAGATTGTTAATTCCCATTATATTAAAAGTAACAAAAATGTTCAGAATAATGTCTATCTCATAAATATCTTTGCAGTAACAAGTCTGAAAGAAAATAGTACTTTTTTTTTAGAAGGATTTAATGTTTGATTCTCTACAATAATCAAAGTAAAAAAAAAAGATCTCGTTGATTTATTACAGTCGATTCGAAGAGGATTAAATGGAAATGATATATGAGACGTTGTAGATTTTCTTTGTTCTCATTTCAATTCATTTCTCGATCGAAACGATTGATCACTTTCTGGCAACTTTGAATTCTTTATAGTCATTTGTAAACATCAAGAGAATTATTTCGACAATATGTTTTTGTAAAATATACTTGCCACGTCGAGAACGATAATTCTACTTGTCACGAGATTCAATATAGTATTATGCATATCTTTTCATTTACTCGTTTCTAAATCAACTTTTTACTTTGATTATTGAAGTGAATTAAATAACAAATGCTTCTAAACAAAATCTAACGTTTTTTTTTTTGATTTCCCTGTATGAAGACAAATGGTAATTGGAATTAGCAAGCTTTCGTAGGTTTTTCTTTCAATTTTCTAAAATTCTATTTGAATATATCAAAAGAATTTCTTCCATACATTTGTTGTCAAGAATTTGAAAGCACACCTTTTGAAACTAAAAATATAACTTTATCGTTTGTCTATGCCAAGATATAGGAAAGATAAATTAACCAGCAAACATTTTGGCGCACTTGGTACGGTAATTGAGGATATACATAAACAATTGATGTTGATTCTCTCGAAGAGAATATTAAATATGTTTTATTGATTATTAACTAAATCTGTGATGTATCAAATAAAAGTTTGAAGAAAAGAATTTCCTTCGCATTGTCGTCATCATTACAATCACGTTATATGAAATGCAATAAGAAAAAAAAAGAATATAGAAAAATTATATATGTGTATGTGTGTGTGTGACATAAAATATGTTTTTCAAGAATAAAAATGAAAGGTATTAGCATTAAATTTCTTGCAAGAAAGTTTAAGAATAGATTATATCTTATATATAAATATGAATAATTGATTATCGAGAAGAATATAATAAAATTTCAATTTCTTATTATTGTACTTGTCAATTAATAAAAAAAAAAATATTTTTATAGACTATATCGAAGTGCATTTTTTTGTAACTAGTTCTATGTCAATGGCTGAAATATCTACATCTATAACAAGTGTTACAAACATTTCATATGAGTGACATGTCGTCTATTGTAATGAAAAACTCCTCTGCAACAATAAAAAGCGTATTTATTTAGTTTAACAAAATTAACATGATTAAATTTGAAGTTTGTAAGGTACCAGTAATGCAAAATTTGAGCAAAAACTTTTTTGGCGCATTTTTTTTTGCATGTAGATAGAACCAATCGAGTTACCTATAAAAATATTGTTGATAACAGATTCAAATCATATTTTTCTGATGAAACTTAGGTTAAAAAACATCACAAAATTCTAGAAAAGTTGAAATGTGACAAAAGCATCAAACCTTGGTAATTCCAATATTTTCTCGATTTTTTTGTAATTTTATTTGTCATATAGCTCGGAAGAAATTAGACGTGCTTTTTGAAAAATACTCTTTGATTTGTTGAGAAAACTAATTTTTCCATATGATAGCTAAATGCCTTAAATGCCCGTTCGTATTCAGAGATTTTTTACCAGGACAATTTCAGTGTCAAAAGAATCAGCACCAAAATCTGCAGCGCATAGTATACGCAATACTTAAAACAGATTTTTATCAAATTTTGGTACTCACAGTTCCTCACTGTTCTTTTCTAACACTTTTACCTGTGCTTCTTCTTAAATCAAAATTTGACAAAATTTAGTTTTAAGTATTGACTATATACTATGCGACCGAGATCTTTGTGCTGATTATTTTGAAACTGAAATTCTGATGGTCAAAAATCTCTGAATACAAACTAGTATTTAAGGTACTTAGCTATGAAATGGAAAAATCGGTTTTCTCAACAATTAAATAACATTTTTCAAGAAGCACGTCTCCTTTTTTTTCTGAGCTATATATGACGAGTAAAATTAAAGTAAAATTCGGGTAAATTTGAGACTACTGAGACTTGATAATTTCAACGTATTTCAACTTTTTATAGGTTTTTTTATTTTTCTCAATCTAAGCTTCATTACAAACGTATCTTGTAAACGTGTCAAAAACAACATTTCTATAGGTAACCCCATGAGCTTAATCTAACTGTGACAAAAAAATAACAAATAGAAATTTGTTTGAACTTCAAATCGCCTACATCTGAGCAGATATTATGAGCTATGTGAAATTTTTTGCCTTCGCTACAGAATAGAGTTCTGCTGGCTCAAATTTTACAACTTCGACTAGAGAAAGCTTGAAAGAATTTTCTTTTGACTGACGTTATACAGTGATTTCCAACATTGATCATATAAATTTTATTTCGATTTATTTCCGTAATAAAAATTTAAACAGAGAAAATTATTTCCAACAAGAATTTAAAGAAATGAAATCTTCACAATATTTTGCAAATCGAAGAGCTCAGGAAAACCCTAAAGCTAGCTTTTTTTAATTCCTAAAACTCGAAAATAAAAATTTCTTTTGATTGAACGAGGTGACAGAACAATTGCTTACAATATGGCACATCATCGAACTCTTTACGACATTTTTCGGCTGAATCAGATAAATTTTAAGAGAAGCCCAAAAATTCTTTTTGTTCAATTTTCTCTTAGGAAATGGGGCAAAAAACGCACTTTGTGGCGTTTCTTAACATCGATGTAAGTTTCGTCAATAAATTTCGATGAGACTTCGGAGATGTATCATTTTATAGAGAACCAATTGCTCTATTACTCTGTAAAACCAAAGGAAACTTTTTTCCAGTTCTAGGCGCTAAAAACCTAGGTTTGCAGTTTAATAGGCATTCTAAATTTTGCGAATACTGTGAAGATTTTATTTCCATCAAATTCTTGTTGGAAACAATTTTCTCTGTTCAAGCTATTATTTAGATTTTTTACGCGAATTATCATTACGGAAAAAATCGAAATTGAATCTGTACGAATAATTATTGAAGCCACTGGATACTTCTTTTTGTGCTACTTGTTCATGAGAATTTTTCTCGGATTTTTTTAAAAACTTAGTAATAAATCTATGAAGTAGTATATTTTTGTCCATTGTTTAACATATGAAGGATAAGCTAGTCGCTATGTAAGAGAAGAAAAAACGTAACTGTTTTGACGATGTAACTCCGACATTGACTCCGAAGAAACTATTCACGATCACTCCGATTCCGACTCTGAAAAAAAATTCTTTTAGTGACTCTGGCTCCGTTAGAGTTAGGTTTCAGAGTGCAATGCAGAGCTCTACTGCGAGATCATTTTAATATATATTATTGAAATTCTATTTATTCTATCAAATCTTAACGTAAAAACAAATCGATCTAATCTATCGTCTCACATCATTCAATCGATCGGCTACGGTTATGACGTCGAACAAAACGATCAATATGCAAATTTCTTTTCTCTTATATATGCTCAATCAATCAACTACTATTGATAATCAATTAGAAACAGAAAAAGAACTGAAGAAGTTTTTTCACATATTTTTTTTTCAACACTAACTAATAAGAAAAATTCAACAAAAACTTATTCTACACACATTAAAGATTTAAATAAAAAGAAAAACAAATTATAAATGAACTTCTAACTTATCTATAAATATTTTCTAAAGATTACATATATCACTAAATAAAATTTTTTATTTCATATATGATAGCAAAACCGCTTTACATATTTCTACAACATTTTTGAGTCTGTTTCTATTAGAAACATTCATTAAACATGATCAATTTGAATAGGATTTGTAAATCAAGATATGAAACAAAAAGAAAAAAAAAACAACAGATGGAAGTTTATAAAACGAAAAAATAAAGCTGATGATAATTGAAATGTGTATGTATCATTAGTATGCTAGCCGGGTATGTGCATATTTTCTATTTCGTTTTCTTTTTCACATGAGAAAAAATAAAAAACAATTTTATATGTACAATAGTACAGTTAAACTTCTCTAATGTGGACACCATTGGAACCGGGCAAAAATACTTCTCATTAAAAGATTATTCAATTACTTTTTTTTAGCAACCTATAATTATTCAGTTACAATCGCTTCTCAACTGCAACAACCTGATCTTTTTCTTCTTTCCAATAACTAATTAATTGAATTTTTTTTAACAGAAGTAAATTAACTCGTGCTAACATGATTTGACATTGTCGGCTAATAAGATGAAAAACGACGAGATGTTACGCCAAGAACTAGTGCTGTTGTTTAATATTAGTGTTTATCTTCTTGTAAATATTCAGGACTAGTTCATCCCCTTTTTATTTGTATCTCACGATTGTTTATCATAACATATTACACATAGCATCCATTTTCACTCATTCTGCACGTGATTGATTGAGCATATGTTACTCACTACATGACACAGGTTGTTATTGCTTATGGAACTAAAAATAAGCACTCAGTGTTCAGATTAAGAGGTGCTTATTCATAGCCAAATATGCTTGGGTGAACTACACACTGTCCAATAATAAGAATATGCTCACATAGACAGATTTTACTGTAATTTATTTTCATATTGACCAGTGATAACGCAACATGCGCTCCATGAAGATTTTAATAATGCTGCATAAACATGCATTAAAGCACTGGACGGTATCGGACCTTAGATCTTATTTGATATGAGAGAGACTGAACCAGAATAGCCTCCTTGCCCATTTTTCATATTGCGTTTGTGAAAAGTTCGAGCTATTTTCGAAAAACTTTCTGATAGACACACTGTTTGCGGTTGTCTATCAAAATCTTAGCTCCTTTCAGTTCTAAAAACTATTGACAGTTCTATGCAGGATAGTCCGGTCTATCACAGTTATTAATAATGATTTTAAATGTTCGATCGTAATCCTTATTCTAATGATGATACAACCAGCGAAAACAAAGACAATTTGATTATTTAGTTCATTTTTTAATTATGTTCGAAAAACATGTTCATTCGATTTTTTTTGCTGTTGTATGAATATTTATTTGTCTTACGAAAATCTTTCATCCGAAAAATCTATTTGACATAATGATGAATCGTATTCATGATAACGAAAGAAGAAGAGAACGTGCAAGAATGATGAGTGGTATCATCATTTTGTTTATTTATTTTAAGTACGAAAAAAGAAAACGAAAAAATTCACATTAACAACCAATAAAAAACAAGAGAGTGAGAAAAGAAGATGGATTATATGTGTATATAGACATTGTACATGATTTGTCTCGGATAAAAAAAAAATTGATTTTAACTTCAAAGATATTTTTTCATGTGAATCGATTAGTCTTCCTTTTTCGTTGATCTCGACTCGAACTCAATCGATATAAATATCAAACATTTTCCTTTTTCTTTAGTAGTTTTCATATAATGCATAGAATAAATATGGAACGTGCAACATTTAAAATTGAAATTCCATTTACTGATCATGCTCATTGTATTGGACGACAAGGAAATCAAATACAAAGTATTATGTTAGCAACAGATACACATATTCATTTTCCTGATGGTAATCGTGAACCAAACGGAACAAAATCTAATCAAGTAGATTAAAAAATAAATTAATAAAAAATTTATTTATTTTTCTTGAATAATTCTTAATAGGTATCAATAACAGGTACAATAACATCTATTGAACAAGCTCGAAAACGTATTCGAGATATTTTACCAATGTCATTAAAATTTCTTATACCACCAAGAGAATTAATTCATATTATTAATGATGATTATCCATTATTTAAATATGTTCGGACACGCTATGGTGTTAATGTATTGTCACGTTCATATGCAAAAACTGGCGATGTTTATTGTATTGTTCGTGGACTGTATGTTATCATAGAAGTTCTTTTTTTTTCGAAAACAAATTTGTTTTTCCTTTTTTCTTTAAGTATTAATCAACCAGAATTAGCAGAAGCAACTGAATATTTAATTCAAGCATTTTATGGTTTTGAATCATCATTAGTTAAAGTAACATGTCAAACAGAAGTTAGTGAACAATATCATGGTTATTTGCAAACTCGTCAACAATCAAAAGATATGTGCATAGCAGCTATTGAACAATATACACATGCAACAATACAATTTCCAACAACAATAATAAATACAAATGGATATGGACGACGAACATCAGTTATAATTAGTGGATCTCCAGCACAAGTTTGTCAAGCAAGAAAATTATTCGATGTAAAAATTTTCTGTTTTGTTTTTCTTTAATATGATGTGAAAAATTTTTGCTTTTCATTTAGTTATGTTTACCAATTATTTTGACTTTTGAAGTACCAGCTGATAAAGAGCCAACACGTGGTATGAAATTAACGAACGAGTCTCTCCAGATGTTAAATTGCTTTTCGACTGAGACGATATTTATTTGATGAGTACTAGTGAGTAATAGAAAAGTCTAAAATGGTTTGATTTTCCAAGCCTTTGTTCTTAAGATATCGAAATTTTACTGAAGTTTTCAACAAAAAACTGTGATTCCCTAAAAGTCGACTTTCAAGTTTCGAACTCAAACTTTGCATAAACAAAATTCTCAATGCGATTAGTTCGTTCGGTAAGTTGTAGCTTTTTTAGTATCTCGTATCCTGAGATATTCGAAATTCTTGTATGCATAAAAGGAAATATTGTGTATGTATTCACATCTCTACAAAAGAAATAACAGAAAAACTAAAACTTGCTCAGCGAAGTAGTTTCATTAAGGACTTTGTTTATGTAACTTTTGGAGACGAAAGTTCTCTGTTCTGGAGGACTACAGCTTTTTGTTGAAAAACCTAGTAAAATTTCGATATCTCAAGAATGAAGGCTCGAAAAACCAAACCATTCTAGACTTTTCTAATACTCACTAGTATTCATCAGATGAACTTCGTCTTGGTCGAAAAGCGATTTGATACCTGAAGAGGTTCCTTCGTAAGCCTCAATGTTTTTTTTTTGGTTGAATACAGAAACTATTTTGTTTTTTTTATTTAGCTGATATTGCTCATATCAAAGATAAACTTAATGTAACAACGATTGTTCGAACACGTAAAGATAAAATTGGAAAAGTAAATGTTTTTTTTTAATTTTCTTTTCATTATTCTGAAACTTTTTATGTATAGTTAGTCAGTGTTCAATCACAAGAATATAACAGTGATCAATTATTTCGTGCACGTTCAATTATTCTTGGCTTACCAGAAATAAATAATAATATTGTATCAATACCAACGATTAATAATAATAATAATAATAACACTTTATTCGATCTGAGTAACTACTACTTGTTTTTGAAGATCAAAACCATTGAATTGTTTTTGTTGTTATAGATTTATCATCAACAGTGTTGTCTGATCTCTCTAGTAAGTAATAAGAACGAAGATTCTTGGATAGAAACTTCTAATTGAACGAATTCGCAGATGATTTTTTGTGAAAAGCCATAGAAAATAAATATTGCACTAAGATCTGTATTTATTTAAAGTTTCAAGTCGAAATTAGAAAATAAGTTCTCGTTGTGTTCCTAAGAAGAACCTCGACATTGATTTGAAAAATACCGTAACAATGCGGCGTCTCAGCTAAAGACTCGAAGTGTTTTCAAGATACTCATAGCTCATTAGAGTTTACATGATGCAAATAGTCCAGACTCCAAAGCAATTAATCAGTTGAGGTACTTCCCTCATTAGCTATGTTTAAATCGTTGTCCTTATCTCATATAATACATTGATAATTACTGTAAAAAAGAAGAAAAAAAGATGATCATACTCTTTCTTTATATTTGGTATAATTTTATGTGAATTGTTGAAATTCTTTTTAAATCAAAAGTTTTTTCTAATTAAAATTTCACATTCTCATACAAATTGCAGTAACTTTTTCTTAAAACAAAATAATATTTTGAATTATAATCTATTAAGAAAAATTTTATTTTCTATGCATATTTTCATGAATCCTTTATCCTATGCTGCATCATTTTTGACTAATTCCTAGAAATTATCTACGTAGTTGAAGTAATAAAGCATCGATGCGAGACAGTCTTCGAATTTCATGTACAGCCTTTCATAAACTGCAAATTCCTAGAAAAAATTTAACTTCTTTTCATCATTCACTGGCTAAGGTTTATTAATTGAAAAACAGTGTTTTTCAACGAAAGTGAAAAGTCGGTTTTCTTTATTTATTTAGTTATACAGACTGATTAGTCTAATGTTTGCCAGATGATATCTAGTACTACAGGCATAATGTATTTGCAGAGTAGTTTTTGAAATTTTCTTGATTGAAGATATGAAAGCATTCCTTATTTTCACAGTGAAATGACTTCGCCCATATTTAACCGCTTCAGTGTCCTAATCGGTATCTGTATAAGTTATTGTCATGGTTAACTAAACATTAACTCTATTGTGTTAATGCCAGAGCAAAAAAAGATCTTTGAAAATCATTTTATTATTCTTAAATTTTTTTTTGTTTACAAATAAGAACTGGCTAAAAAATCGAGATATATTTTTTTCGACAATCAGTCGTAATATTAATATTTTTTTTTTAGTGTCGGCTTCATCTACTGCTTCTTCTTCTGGGACAACAATATCAACTAGTCATTTACCAGATAGTATCTTAATTCCAATTGAATCTTACTATGTACCATCAACACAACAAATCAATACACTGCGTGTATCATTGTAAGAAATAGAGTTTGTATTTTATGAAATGCTTTTAATTTTATTTTTCTTAAAGAAATAAAGCGAATACAACAAAAAAACCCTCACCTATCGGACATGAACGTTCATCATTACGAAGTAAAAAATTTCGTATTGTTATTATTTCTTTTTCTAATGAATACATTTACTTTATACTTGAAGATTTCGATCAAGATTCAATCATTTGGCCAACAAATAACGATCAATTTTCATTTGTAAGTTTTCTAAACATTATTTCAATATTAATTGAATAAAAATGTTTTTAGTCTTCACTTTTCGATACATCAAAACATCAAATAAAATCAATTAGTAGTAAGTTTAATTCTATTTTTTTTATTTAAATATTTATATAAACAAAAAATTTAGATCCTTTAATTACTCCACTATCTCAAAACAATCATTCGACTAAATTATTTGCATTACTTCGTTCAATAAATTTAGAAAAATATTGGTCAACATTTGAACATCATGAGGTAAATTTGTTTTTATTTTTATTTCAATGACTTGACAAGAAGAGAAAAAACACCTAGTCTAATGTCTGCGTCAGAATAAAAGAGTATAATAATAATTCTACATATATGTACTGCGTTGTTTTGCATTTTCGTTGAAATAATGAATAAGTTATTATGCGATTGATGTTTCTAAAAATACACAGCAGAAGCCAAACAATAAAGAAAGATTTCAGTGTTTGTTATAAAACTTTTTTCTAACAAAGCTTTCTTAATAGCAAGTAAATATTGGCTTTGTAGAGTCTTTCATCTACTATTACATAGAATATTATTGAACTTGATTGTATGTCATACTACGAAGAAAATTTGAGCTCAAGCTAATTTACAAGCTGCGAAAGATACCTAGTAATGCATTCTACGGTTTGTCATAAAAAAAACTTGAAGACACCTCTCTTCTGTCATACATTTGGATGGATATCTTCTAGTATGACCATTCCCTTCTCATCGATTATGATGAGCATATCCGTGAGACTAATCTAATACAACATTAGTATGAAACATGACCGAATTTAAAATAGTCGTTCTTTTTCCTACTTTCATACTGCTTGAAATATATTGTGATGAACATGTTTTTTTATTGACGGGCATTAACAATAGGTAGCAATTCGTAAACCGAAAACACGTGTTGATGGATTCCTTTTTTTTTTACAATGACAGCAGCTTCATAGTGTTTCAAATTTTACTCCCGCTAAGATTACGCTAACAACTTTTTATACCTTGATGTATGTCAAATGCTATAGTAGTAATGGGAAGATATAATTTATACTGTAAAAATAAAAAAATACATTTTTTCAAAAGAAATCTTTATTCACCTTTGCTTTACTTATAATAATCTGAACATGTATGTGCGAAACAGATAGAAAATTAATCGAACAGTGTTTTTTCGTTCAGTTAGAAGAAAATTTGTTGTGCCATTCTTTTGCATAATTTGACGATATTTTCTATTTAATTCATCAGCCAACATGCACACTAAAACAAGTAGTATACAGTCTCAAGCATTGTTGCAGAATTCTAAATATATCTCTTCGATATAATCACTGTCCTATATAGTTATAGAAAATCCTATATAGATGGTGCTTTTGAATTTCTATATTCTTTCATAGTGATGTTGCAAAGCCAGACAAGTGAACAATGGCAGCAGCTAGTGATCTGTGATTTTCAGCAATCGAAAGAGATAAATTCCCGATGTCTTTTTTTGCCTAATACAAGATAAGACAAAATTATTTTAAAAGCCATCATTTTCGCTAAGCATTTTAAAAATGTATGAAAACAGTGGTCCATTTTAAGAAAGCTTCAATGAAAAGTCAGAAAATTTCCTAAAATTCGAAAAAAACTCGATATAATTTGACCGAGTGGATACATGGCTTTGTTTGCTCAATATTGAGATGTGAGAAGATAATAGCTTGAATCATGTCTTGAAATAATAGATCTGAAGTACGTGTTCAAATCAAAATTACAACGAAATGGAACATCTTTTTCCTGTATTTTTTTTAATGTTTTGCGAAACAGATAAGTGTTACACTGATTTTGTTTTATATAGTATCAGATAAAACGATGTTCGAATTTCTTCTGTTTCCATTGCCGAAAACTGCAGGTTATTAGCTGTTGCCATTGTCAAGTTACTGAACTAACAATCAGCCCCCTTTAATTCTGGCATGGACATTAGATTGGCTATCATACATTTCGTTCTATAATAAGTGAAGTCTTAACTTAAAACTATTCAAAAATAATTCTGTCTTCTATTTTTTTTATACCTATAAAATAAAACATATATTTTGATGATATGTATTTTATAAACAAACCTATTGAAACTTTTGAAATTCGTTGTTGTTTATAACAAATACTTGATGGTAGAAATTAAAAGAGATAAGAAAACGAAAATAAAATTCTACTTTTATCAATAAAATTGAAGTGTTTATTTTTTTTTGTCTTTAGACTATTCCTTGCCCAGTCACTCTCGACATCAATGCCTATGATAACTTTATTAATCATTCAACATCTTTGGACTTGAATACTCCGTTATCATATTTTATCGACGATGTAAACAATAATATAGCTTATTTACCATCGTGTTCACTTTTGTCTATTTAATCATGTTATTTTTTGTTTACCAATGTGTATATATTCGCACGTACGTCTTTCTATTAATCAAGAATAGAGAAAATAAAACAAGAATAACTTGGACAACAGTTTGTTCTGATTTAAAAGTGCTTACATCTGTTCAAAGAGCTTGTCGTAAAAAACTAAATATTTATTCAGTTTTATTGTGACACAATGATTATTTGTATAGAGTTATTATGATAATATCTCAACTAAAAATAGAATTTTTTATCCGAGAAAAAAAACAATGAGACATAATAACATGAGCTTGAATGAAACAAAGAATTAGCTTCTTTTTTTTATCGTAAGACTTCGGGAAGTAAATTTTTTAGCAATCTTATAAAAAAACGACGAAGAATAAATGGTATTTCATATTCTTCATAGGGTTACTAAAATAAAACAAAACACGAGTTCCATAGTTATCAGTAATTTCAAATTGTATTAAGAAGGGAAAAAAGTTTTTTTTTTTATAGAGTCAATAATAAACCACTGACGCGACAACATGTCTAACTGTCAGTTTCTGTTTGACTATATATTATGAATAAGTGTAAATCTCTGTGACACTGAGAAAATCTTATAAGTATTCCAGTCCGTACTGTATTGGTGAAGAATTATGAGCGTTTTAATGAAACTTTTAGTAACAGCAAGTTAACGAAAACGAGCATATCTTCCTCAGTAAATTTAAATTAAAACAAAAATAGTTTGTATCAGAATATATCAAACGTGCCTATAGACAAAATTTTAGGTCGAAACTCTTTGTTTTAAGTTTTGGAAGCAAGCCTTGTTCTCAGTAAAATTTCATTGAAAGACCATGATTCTTTATCAATAGGCCTCGAATTCAAATTCTTTTCAGGATTTTCTCAGTGTTACCGTGATCTACTCTTAGCGATAATATGAAATCAAATGGCGTTCGACAATTATATATATTCTCGTATGGGATCAATTCAGAAGCTCTTAATACTTAATTTAATACAAAGGAAAAATCTTAATTATGAATGAAACTTTTATCGTATTTTAATAACAATGGCTATGTCAATAAATATTTCAAAAGTGCTTCTAACAGTTGACATAATCAAAAGATAAACTAGACGATATGTCTCATCGGCATGTATGAACAGAGAACAATCAAGATTTAACAATTCATTAGTATCTATATTAAGAATGTAAAAACTGGTTGTTCCATAATATTTGCAGCACACTTTATTTTGTATTTATCGTTACACCGATAAGTCTAAAAGAAAGTTGACTTTTTTCTATAAATTTCGAAGTGATCAATAGGCGATCAATCGTTTAGATTGAGACGTGGGTTGAAATAAGAAAAATATAAAAACTACAATGTCTCACGCATCTTGTCAGTTAATCGTCTTCGACTTAATTAAAATGAACCAGCAAGACGTTTTTTTTACTTTGATTATTTTCGAGGACTAAACAATAAATATTTCTGAAAAAAAGCAATGATTGTCTATGAATTTGTTTTTGTGCAAATATTTATCAAATAAAGATTATAATGAATATTAGATGTCACAAAAGTTTTGCAACACTTTGTATTTTACACATACCTCAGTTCCAACAATAGATAAAATCTACAATTAATTTTTGAAAAATGCATAATTCAATTCTCTACAAACCTATATTCGTTTTAATTTAAAATATTTGAACTGAAAGTTCTTATACGTCAAATAATGTGATTATATAAATTACATTTACTTCCCACACATTTTTTTAAATATACTTTGTCTGAGTTTTCGAAGTTTTAAACACGTGCCCAGAAAACTAATTATTAATAATAAAATCACATATCAATGCTCTTTCAGAATTATTGATTTGAGTTCGATTGTAATTTATTTGAGCCCGATTAAAATGGTCTGCCTGAAATGTTAATGCAGAAACAACATCTTAATAATATATTCCAATTCTCCTTACAACTAAATTGTTTTATCCCATGCTTTTTAAGCTTATAGTAGAAAGAGATACCCGTTTTTTCATGAAGTACTGCAAAATAAGCTCAGTTCGGCCATAAGTGACATTTTTAAGATCTCTTTTCTAAACGAGCATTAATCAAAAGAGAGAATTTTGTGATTTTAATAGTATTGCTTTGTAAAAAATTCTATCTAATGGAAAAAATGAATGTTAAATATATATTACAGTTGGCATAAGAATTCATTGAAGCTTGGAAAGCATGAGATAATACAAAGACATTCTTTTGGAAAGAAAAAGATTTTATAATAGGAATAATTCTTCATAAACAATGTAAGATAATCAATTTGGAAAGGCATTTACAAAACAGATTCACATTAAACACAACCATAAAAAAACATTTTTTTCCCTATTGTACAAATAAAAACGAATGATTTTTCTTGTGCACATTTCTGGTTTCTGAATACTGTGCTATTTTGATGATACAGTAATTGATGCTCATTGTCGTATTCAAGTTTTGGTATTATTAGGATATAAGCTAATTACATTATTTAGCATTATTTATTGCTGCATCATTTCGAAAATATTTATGTAATTCAGATTTTGAATTTAAGCGATTCAATAGCATTCACAATACCAAATTTTTCTGTGAGAATCATCATGAGTCATATACCATCAATAACACTATTTAAAGAAAACAAATTAAGCTTCAATTTCATTAGTACTTATAATCGTATATTATGCTCTCATATCGCAATAAAAAGACTACACATGAAATCAAGCATCTTTACTTTTAAAACTCTTCCTCATTCCGCTCCTGTTCGTTATACGTTCGACTCAATAGTTTAAAAAAATATAAAATATCTATATATGAAACTTCAGTTTTTAATATTTAAAATTATTGATCTAAAATTCTTGAATGGAAATTGTTTTTTATTGATGGCTGAAAAAAATCATTGAATGTCTTCATGTCCCGATTATCACAAAAACAAATAAGAATAATAAGAAAAAGAATAAAAATAATTTACATTCTTTGTAGAAAAACAAACAAAATATTTTCTCATCGTATTAAAAACAATATATCCTTTCTTCAACCAAGCTTAATTGATCATTTAACGTCCCAATGTCAAAATTATTCGAAAAAAAATATAACGAACATTGATACTCATCACAGAGAGACAAAGAAACATTAACTATTCACTGTATCAACGAAACAAAATATTTTTCTTCAACCAAGCTTAATTAATCATTTAATGTGCTCCTGTTCTCATTATCCAAAAAAAAATCATAACGAAAATGTATACTCATTGCAGCAAAAATAAAAAAATATTGTATAAACAATATTTGTATTTTTATGCGTTAACAATATTTCTTATTCGAAAATTACAAAAAGTGCTATTCCAATCTCAACTAGATTCCAATATGCAATTCACAAAAGTATTCAAGAATTATCTATCAGTCGGCTTTTTTTAAAGCGAAATATTTGTTCGTTTAACAAAAATAAGTCAGTAAAAAAATTGTATAAGAAGTAGACGGAATTCATATGATCAAACTATTTGACCTTTAAAAACGTTCAGTTCTATTATTTTAAAAACTAAGGCGAATACAATCTTGTACAGAATTGAATTACTAATTTTTCTAAAATAAATTCAAACTTTTATCTTTTGTCTGAGCTGAGATATATGTAAGACACAAAATGTTGGAAAAATTTTATGACATCTGGTAGTCCCTGGTTGAATTCTATCGTTCAATTTTTGAATGATTTCTCTCAATTGGATTTCATTTGTAAAATCTGCTTATATTCAGTAAAAAAAATTGATTGAATTTAAAAGGAGTTAATTGTTTGCATCTTGTCTTTTCTAATAGTCATTAAGAAATCAAAGATATTTCCACAGCTTTATTTTCTGATGTTATGTCTTCAACCATGATATTGGAATGAAGATTATGTAAATAGAAGAGCAATTCGCATTTCTTTACGTTATATTTCACACAGATGTGCTCTGTATCTGTCACTATACCATTGCCGATTGTTATGGTAAGATAATTCCTCCTGAATGTAAAGTAATTGAGTGCATTGGTTTTGTTCTCTAGGTATGAATTTAGAAAGTCTAGAGCTTCTTTTATCGTACCTGTTTTAAATGCTTTTCTTCTTATTTTCAATCTTACGCTATGCATTTGTTTTTATAATTTATACAAGAATTTATTTTCAAGAATATATTTCGAACAACCTATTATTATTTATGATTACTGTGACCTTGGACGCTTGTCTTTCTTTCTTTTCTAATAGACCTGTACCGAGCTAACTTGGATTATTCATAGGGGAAATAATTGACAAAAATGTTTTTGACAAGTCTTAATAATTTGACTAAAATAACTATTATTCCTTAGACCTGCATTAAATACTACATGTACGAGTAACTTATGAAAATATATGTCAGATAAGATTTTAACTCGGTTACGCTTCAACAAAACTAGATATGTGTGGCATAATGAGTAATGAAGTTAACAAATTCAACAATTGCCGTAACATCATGCTAATATAAGCTTAAGGAACATCATATAGAGTCGTCGAGGGTATTGTTTGTACGTCAATTTACATTGGTCATGATCTTCAGTGTCATTGGCTTTCTTGTAAAACATTAACACGATCTTATCAGGTCCTGAGTGCTTTTTAGACATTTTCTATCTGTCGAGTTCGATATGCCACAGAACTTCTTGCTAGAATCATGTATAAAAAAAAACAACAACATTCGAAAATATCCAATCGGAAATTAATGGGTTATTCGGGATATCTAAAGAGCGATATTTCATTCTGAGATTGAGCTACTTTCAAAATAATGGATATTAACAACCTTTCAATATGTTCTTTCGTCTAGTTACCTGAAAATTCCATCAGAATCAATTAAAACGACTTTCTCATACCGTTGCTGCAGAGAATATAACTGTATATCTTTTGAACTAAAACTCACGATTTTATCACTTTTTCTATATATATAGAAATAAACTGTATTGTCAATGGTTTGGAATCTTTGATATTTTAATGACATGAAGTAAAAGAATGAGGTTGAGAATAGAGTCATTCTGTTCTATTATTTTTCTCATATGTTTTCTTTCAACGTTTTTTATTCATGTATCTTGGTTTCTTCTATTTATATTACAGCATTCGTGTAAAAATCCAAGTAATGTATGATGAAATTGAAATGCTTAAATGGTTTCCACTTCCTTATTTATAAATGACGACTCTCGTCGGATGAGCTCAATTGCATTTAACCAATGACTTTTATTTTATAAGAAGTAATAACCAGTTGAAGTCTGGAAAAACTGAGAAGTATATTTCTAAACGAAAAATTACCATTATAAATTTTGTCTTGTTAGGTACAAGATGTTTGTTCTCAATTTTTTTCTGACAGACGACGATGACGCACCATGTACGAGTAGTAAAAGGGTACAAAAATTCATCATATGATAGAGAGAAAAACAAAGTGGCACGTACACCTTAACGTGTGAAAAACTATATTTAGTCACGATGTAGACGATGACAAGTATTTTAAAGTTTTATTGAAATACTAACGTCATTCAGGCGTAAATCATGCCGAAAGAGATTTTTTTTGCTGAAAACTTTCTCACCTATTAAATAAAACATCTTTCGACAAAGATCGATCGATGATTTACTATAATTAAAAGCTTTTAATTCATCATTGCATACGTAGTCCACCTCAAAAAAAAAGAAAGAAGCAAATATAAAGTAGGTGGTTGATTATCAACTATGTTCTATACGTTTGACATGCCAATGGAAATAATTTGTATATACGCCAAAGAACAAGAAATATAAGTAGGTATGTTTATTTTTTTCTGACGCAGTTTCTCTTCCTCTTTTATTCAGTTTTTTTCTTCTCTCGAAAACGACTGAATAAGCACGTATATAAATACAGCAAAACAGCAAACCCACGTTACCTGTGTGAATAGACACTATCAGATTTTTCATTGCCCACGAATATTTTCTTGCTCAATTACATACTTTTATATTTATATATCTGATTTGTTTTTTTTTGTAGAAATATTGTTTATTCAATTCTTTATGCTGTATTATTCGTCAAAAATGCCGAAATTTTTTATACTCTCTAAGCAAATTATTATCTTCTTATTCATTATTGCACTTGCATTATCAATTGAATCGTCACAAGCAATACCAATGAATAAAATTCGTGCAGCAGATATGGCCATTTCTAATTATGATGAAGTGTATCATCAACGTCGAATATATGATTTAAACCAATTACGGCATTTTCTATTAACATCAAATGAGGAACAACGAGCTGCAAGACGCGACAAACAAAATTTTTATAAACAACAATTGGTTAGTGGAATTTGATTTTAATGAATATAATCATGTTTTATTGTTTTTTATTTTAGATTCGTGAATATCTCAGATCAATTAATGATCCAAATTCAGATCGGTTACAAGAAGTAAAGAGTAAGTCAATTGTTTTTTCTTGATTATTTAACCGATTAAATGATCTACTGCTTATATAATATCTAACTTAAGCATGTTTCTACTAATAAACTTAATTATTTAGAACGCACAACATATTGTAGTATTCAAGATATCTTGCATGGATCTCTTTGCCGTCGGCGTACTATTGATCATTAATCAGATTTTCTCTGACTAACTAATGTATGAATAGTACTAATTTATTTTCTCAAAACCAAATACTTCATCTGCTTGTTATTAACGAACATTCTTCTATTCTTTTTGTGCGACCTATCATTTGCTGCTTTAGTTTTCATATAAATATATAATCCAAATAAAAAGAAGATTTATTGTTCATGCAGCAGAATAAGGAATACTGCAAGTGCAATTAAAGAATTAAATTTGCTTTCTTTCTTGTACATTTTATGTTCTATTACAAAGATAATTATGATTAATAGATTTTAAAAATCATAATTTGTCTTATTTTCTGTAAAGCTTTTCAAAATTGGGTATATAGTCAATACTTAGCAAAAAAGAGATCTATATTTAAGCTTTATTAAAAAGTTAAAACTCTTCGCTGAACTAACAACGAGTCTACCAAAATACAACACAAAATTTATTAAATTTGAAAATGCTAATAAAAAAGAATCAAATCCGATGTATATTATTCTAGAACGTATCAAAACCTTCTGTAACTCATATGACGATGTTATGAACTCCGATCGAGCTGCATGCGGATAATATTTCAGCTATATTGTTATTTTAATATCAATATGTACGAACATCACCAATATCATGCATTTATACCAATTCTTTTTATTTGTTTTTGATTGTCAATCTTTTTTCTTCTCTTCAACTTCGTCATATTCATGCAAAACAAATGCTTAAAAGGCCTAACACACTTTTGGTAGTTAGACTTCAATAAGGTGAATGCATATGCGATTAGTAACAGTTCGCCAACGCTTTCATATTTTTACGACCCGAACAGGCTTTTTTTTTCTATTAGTAAGCAAGTTTATTCATATTAATGTGTGTATTGCATTTTTCGTTTTTGCATAATTATTGCTACTTTTTATTTATCTTAATTGCAACCATTAGTGTTCTTATGGCTTTTTCATTGGTTAAAAAACGATAAAAATCTGTTTATTCTTGTACTTTTATAGAACGTATTTGTGGGAGTTGGGCAGAATTCAAAACCCATCGAGCTACTTGCTTTGGTTAAAATGACAATCATATTATTTATTTAGCAATAAGTCTACTTGAAATATTTTTGTTATTTTAATGTCTTTTTTTTTATTTCACACGAAAAAATGTCTCGAATGAGTAATTAATGACTATTCTATAATTTTAAAAAGTTGTAATTGGTATATCCGAAATTTGCTTGACAGAGAAGTTCGAATTGACTATTGCATCTGAATCAAAATTAGCACTATCAATTGTCGATAATGTTTGCATACTAAGTGTTTTCACTTTGATATCTCTTGCATAACGAGGTGACAATAGACGATGTTCATCTCTTGCTGGTCCCCATTGAACATGAGGTAAACGAGCTTCTTTAATTATCTATTAATATGCAAAAAATAAAAGAAATAAATGAAACATAATAAATTTCGAACATACGTTCCATGTTCCACGATTACAAATTTCAATAAGAAAAATACATGGAAGCCAGCCAACGCATAGTATTACTACTATCCAACCAAGCGCAAGGGCCCATGATGGATATGTATAATCATCTAGTGTTATATCTTGATAGAATAGAGAAGAAAATACAATTGTAACCTAAGACAAATGTTAAATGAATTTCATGGATGAATAAAAAATATATATAATTACAACAAGAATAATTGGTGAAATATATTTCCAACATATTTGCCAAAATTTACTTGGACGTCGTTCTTCACCTAACATCAATGCAATATCATCACAAAAATTATCTATACCTAAGGAGAAAAAACAAATAATTCAAGAATGACTTTTCATTAGATTGCTTTTTTTCTTCAACCATAAACCCATGCAATACAAAATAATTCAATAACACCGATAATTAGCCAAGGAAAACCACCGAGAGATTGATCAATTATATTCAAAACATAGAGGCCACTCTAATTAGTCAATATACCTATGGTGCTGCCGGTTTTTAATAATAAACATACTCGAGTCATCATGGACAAGCCAAGTAGAAAAAAAACAAGTGATACACAAAATCGAAATATAATAATTTTCTTCGATGTATTTAAGTATATTTTGTATTCATCAATAATACTAGCCATTATTGTTTCCATAATAGAAAACTGAATAAAGGAGAATTCATGAATTTAGAAAACAAAAAAAAGAAATTTAATTAATCAACTTCTGAACCAAAACCAAGTGTACACATCATTAAAAAGAATAGAATACACCATAGAGGTGCAAATGGCATCATTGATAGACCTTCCGGAAAGACAACAAATGCTAGACCAGGTCCTTTAGAAAAAAAAAGTACCAATCATAAATAACAACAATCAAAAATATATTCAATTACCTCCTTTAGCTACATCAGCAACACTCATACCCATTTTTGTAGCCATATGACCTTTAAACAAATAGATAAATTCACTGACTTAAGAATAATTTTCCATACCTAAAACAGTAAAAATTGCAAATCCACCAAATATACTTGTAAACCATGTAACAATACAAATAGCCAAAGTATCACTAAATATACAAAAAGAAAACAAAAACGATAAATATTCTAGGCTTTTAAACATATCTCAAACCGATAAATATTATTATTAAAATCATTAAATGAGGCCATTGCAATAAGACCACCACTACAACAACTTAATGCATAAAATACTTGTGTACATGCATCTTTCCATGCCTACCATTCATTAAAAAGAAAAAAAAAACGTATTCAACAATGTGTTCTTTTTTGTTGTTGAATATTCAAGTCAACTTACAGATGGATTTTTTAGTACACTGAAATTAACTGTTCCCATATAAAATTTAATGCCTTCAACAGCACCACTCAATGTTGCTCCACGAATAATTAAAACAGTTAACATTACATAAGGAAATAAAGCAGTAAAATATGCAACCTATATTAAATTACAAAATCTATTTCTTTTATTTACTATCGAACAAACAATAATTTTTACTTTGCCCAATGATTGAACACCTTTTGACAATGCCAAAAAACAAATAAGCCAAGCAACTGCTAAAGCAACAACTAATTCAATAACAATGCCATTTGTATTTTCGATTCCACTACTTATCTGTAGTACTCGACGACTAAGACAAAAGAAAATAAATTTGATTAATCTAAATATCTTTAAAAAAATCTTACTAAAAATATTCTTCACTCGGCGAACTTGTCATATCTAAAAATACAGATTTTATCAACTAAATAATAAAGATAAACAATACTTTTCATCGAAAGAAGATCAATTCGACTTAAATTAGCTAATGTTCTTTTATCAGTACACAATGGTGTATTCCACCAATTATCACAAGTTGACCATGGAACAAGAAGTTGAAACGATGCTATTAAATAATAAAAACAATAAGCAATGAGTACCATATAATATAGACCCCAAAAACAATTTGTAGCCATTGATGCATAGCCAATACCTATAATAAACATAAGAGATTAGCTGAGATAATAAATTGTATTTGAAAGTTTATCAATTCGAAACAAATGTACTGTGATATTTTTTCGTAACTTGTCTCATATGTTAGCTATTCATTTAACATAAAACTCCGTGACAGGTATCATAACAATGCTCTTGTCTAATTTATATAGTGTTCTAATAAAAACTTATAAAAGTATTTGGATTGCTATTGATATTTGACTAAGCTATCGAATATTTAATATGTGTATTTTCTAGAAGTTTCAGGCATTTGGAAAAGTTGTAATTTCGAATAAAAATTTAGAACTTTAAAAAAAAAATCTCTTCGAGATATGAAACTTTTAAGATATAAGTTCTTCTTCCTGGGTAGTGTATTTTTAACATGCATTTTTTGAAAGTTTAACATCTCGAAGAGACTTTTAAAAAAAATTCTGAATTTTTTTATGGAACCTAGTCTAGTTGAGTTCACTACATGCACAAAATTTCAGATCAAAATTCGAAAATATGAGTTTTCCAAATACATGAAACTTCTAGAAAATAGACACATTAAACATTCAAAACTTAGTCAAATTTTAATAAGAATCCAAAACCTTTTAAAATTTCTCTTAAAACACTTTGTGGTATCAATAGGCAAAAAATTATTGAACTTCGAAGAGGACAGCTGAAGAAATTTCTTCATTAGCCACAAAACTAAAGCCTTATGTAGGATTATTATGAAAATATAAGATACTTGTCTTTGATCTCCTTTCAAAACTCACTGTAACATATTATGAATAACATTTTTCATCACGGACATATTAGTATGATCAAAGTTCCAAACTGAAGCATATGTTACAGAATCTCTTGATCTATAATCTACGCAGATCAATCGTGTTTCATATTTTAATCTCACCGACATTGGACTAACAGTTTTTTTTTTCATAATATAAAACAAACCTCGTAATAATGGATTGACATTCCATACAACTAATGGACCAGCACTAGTAAATTGTCCTAAAGCTAATTCAAGATAGAAAACAGGTGCACCAATAAAGATAAGCATTATTGTATATGGTATAAGAAATGCACCTGTAAGACCAACAATAAACGAGTAGAAATTATTAAATTCGTTTTACCTCCTCCATTTTTAAAACAAAGATATGGAAAACGCCAAACATTTCCTAAGCCAACAGCTGGAATAAGTATTAAAAAATCAATTCAAATTTCTACACTATTAAGACTTGCATACTGACCAAATGCTACCAATGTTAAAAAGAATTCGATAGGATTGGTCCATTGTTTACGCTAGATACCATAAAAAGATTTAACCTATAAATGTTAGATGTTGAGTTAATTGATTACTAACCTCCGGTTGAACAACATTATTTGAATTCATCTTAAATGTAAAATATGCCAACTGTATCTTGTATAACTTTTGGCAACTGATGGCGTGTTGTGTTTAAAATTGAATATTTATGTGAGAAAAACAAAGATTGAGAGAATGATAAGTCAGTATGTTTCTCAAGGATAGAATCATAATTGATCTTAAAATGATTCATAAGAGAATCACCTACATAATCTATTTAAATGGCATTTACAAAAAGAAAAATAAGTGTAATCTTAGGATTATTATGATCAACTATTATAAAAAAAGAAAACGAAAGTGAAGAGAAATATAGATAGCAAAAAGAGCATGATCTTCTTTGAAGAAGTTATTTATTTGGCAAAAATGTCATTTACATATGATAACAATTGTAAATATAAATTATTTTAAATCAACAAACACGTTGAAATTCTACAAAGAAAATGATCTGTTAACAATAATATGATTGTGGACAAAATTCTTTTGTTAATTTGAGGGGAAAAACGTACTGTATATCTAATAGGTGAAAGATCAATTTTACAATATAACATTTTCTATTTTTGTATTTAAATGAAATGTTGATTATTTTTTAATTTGAAAATCTTATTTGACAGAAATTTTCGATACAATTTCTTAAGAATACTTGAACTGTTCATCAAGCTTATAGAATAAGTTCTAAATTAATAATAATATTTTACTGATTCAGAACAATGAACGTATCAATATTGTCATTGAAACTTGTGAATAAATGTATTCCAGAAAACTTATATAATTTTTACATAGACTTTTTAATTAGCTCGTTGAGTAACTTTGTTTGCCCATGATAGTTAATGACTTTTAAATTTGTATGATATTTGTTCTCAACGGATGTTAATTACTTCAGCAAGTTTCGCTCTCCATTTTTGAATGGTTCTTGACATATAAGTGTCCAATTAGTTTTCTCTAAAATGTTGATAATTCCTGATTCATGAAGGATGAAAAGTTTTTCTTTTTACTAAAATGTAGTTGTGACTCTTTTTTTTTATTTTCATTATGAATTTGAAAGACTGTCTCTTGATAGTTACTGAAATACAGCTTTTGCCGATTGAGAATTACTTCTAAAACTTGAGACCTCTTCCAAAAATATTTCATATCTTAGTCTAGGAATATGATTTTGATTTCAAAATTGCATTTGATATTCTAAAATGTCTTTAGATTATTCACATGTAATAGAAAGGTTAACTACTGTATGGTTTGAGAAGTTCATTGAAAATCGAGATATGTTCAGATTTTGGAAAGAGGAAATTACCGAAATTTCCAAAGTTTCCATCAGCTTGATAATAACATAACAGTGCAAGTCAAAAATTTTTAGGAATATTGGAAATTTCAGATATTCTCAAAAACTCATGTAACTTCGGAAATTTCGGTAATTACTGAATTATGGGAATTTCAGAAATGTCGGATGTCGCATAATTTTGGGAGGTACCTGACAATCGAGAACATAAATTCTTGAAATTTTCGAAACTGCCGAAATTTTCTTTTTTTGGCAGTCTGAACATTGCTGTTTAGATGTCATGAAATATTCAATCTTATCACTATCGCTTCAAAACGAATGCCATTTTTTTCCTATTGATTATTTCAATGTTTTGTCTTATATTATAATTCACAACACACTGTTTACCATAAACTTCAATTCCATAACGAAAAATGACACACATGTAATTGTGATGCAATAAAATAATATTGTTGACTTATATATTGTCATTGATGCATCGTCTCTATCAGTTATCACCTCTACATTTGTCTATTTAATCATCATCATATTTACTCATAATACACCAAACATATATTCTCTAATGTATTAGCTTGTGTTCATCATATGTTTGTGTACTCTGTTCTATTGTATTATTTTGACAATCAATTATTTTATTTTATTTTTTTGTTTAATCCACATCAAATGCTTATCGTGTCTATTCGGAACTCTATTATATAGATATCGATACTTATTAAAAAATTCAATGCTATCTATATCTGATTATTTCTCATTCATTTAAGATCTATTTTGTTTGAATGAAGAACAAAATTCATAAATTTATCCACTTATTATTGCTTATATCATTCTACTGTCAAATGTTATTTGTCTTTGCTGTAACAACACAATTCACACTGCGATAGCTATTATAAAAGGTCGTGGTTGTTGTACTCAATAAAAACATTCGGAAAGCATTAGAATAACGATAGGTCGCATGTTATCCCATATGTTTATTATCTTCTACTCGTGTCGAATCATTTCCAGATGTCAACAGTGCAAAGAAAAAAACAAATCATATAGTTGATGGAATGTTTCATATTATATCTATAGAAAAAAATTTAACGAAGAGAACTAGATTTACTGCACAGCTTTTTTTTATGAATATTTAGACAATAATTCAAATATTTTTTGTTTCTCCTAAAATGATTTATTATTCAATATGTTTTATTCTTTGTTTTTAAATAAACAAATTTTTGAAGTATACAGTTGTGATAAATAAAGAATGATGCAAGAGTTTTGCAATTATTTTGTTTCGTATATAGTATGACAGCAGCTCGTCGTGCAGTCTCGATACTTTTTTCGTTAGAATGAGCAAAGTCTCTACTACAAAGCTGTGTAACAATATTTTGTTCAAAATATTTACCGACAGATGAAAAGTTTCAAGAACACTTTTTGACTGAAAGTGTAAAATCAGTGTTGAGAAGTAGATTTGTTGGATTTGTCTTTCATTAGGCTTTCGAACTTTTTAGGTACGTTATGTATGAAAGGCCATTAGCGAAAAAATTCTATTTTAAATTCAATCGACAACTAGAAAATTTTTCTTTTACCTGCTTACAATGACCTATCGTAGCGCTACCAAGTTCGATAAAAGACGGACATTAAGAGAAAATTTCTTAGTAAATGAATACTTTCTTCTAAATTCCAAAAGCGTTTAATTTTAGCGAACTTTTCCAATAGAAATGTTCACTTTGCATAGACCAAAAGAAAATTATTTTTTTATGAAACAGTGGTATTACAAGTCAAAATGAAAGAGAACATGCATTTGAAATCTCATTGTTAAAATGTAGATCAAGAAAATCACTTGTTTGCTCGATTGTTCGACCAACGATCATTGACATACCTGAATGACTATCTCTGTCTCTTTATCGAACACAGAAAATTACAGATCTATATCTTGTTTCTATCGAAAGTTATTCGAAAACATTCGAATATATTGACCTCGGGCGCTGATATAGTTGCAAATATTGTAGATCTACAAATAATTATTACAAGTAGCTTTCGCATCTATAAATTAGACATACATAATTATGAGAAATACTTTTTTCATTGATTGCGATAAATGTAAATAGATAAAGCGGAATTACAAAAGCACGTTTTATGTGTTAAACGATGCCGTTAGAACAGACTATATAGTTTTAAACCTATTCTTGCCTTGTTGGAAACTATTCAAAACTGTTTCTTGTTTGAGATCGAAAACTATCAAATTATAGTTAAAATTCATGAGTTGCATATCGTAGTAATCTTAAAAAAATGCATTTTGAGTGTGGGTGTAGGTGTGGCTGAACTGAAGACTAACACCTATGTCCACGTCCACGCCCACATACACACCCGCATCCACACCCACACTACACCCAACACCTACACTCGACACCCGACACCCACTCGTACACCCACATCCAAACGCATACCCGCACCCGCCCACATCCATACCCACACCGGGGTTATATTTGATATCAGTCTAAGATGTCATCGAGCTTTACCTAACACAAACATTTTCTCAGTTGACACAGCTCTTGGAATCAATACTTGGTCATAGCATGGCTCAATATCCCCTGTCCTACCAGTCTTTGACTAGCTAATGAACGACCTTGTTGCTAAATAAAGACGAATTGGATACCAATTGATAGATTTCATTGAGTCCTATCCGACACAAACATTCTCACAATAGGCACAACTCTTAGAACGAATATTTGACCGATGAACGGCGTTTCTTATAAAAACACCGATGTTTCAAAGGTAGATTTTTGAAATTTTAAGGCGGTTTTTGCAGCAGAAATTATCTAAAAGATATGTATTCGATAGCATATTCCGTGTTCCATTTGGTACAGGTCTGGAGGAGAATATTTTCCTGAAAAACGTGAATCCGTTGTCAACTTTACCTACGTCAATTGTTAAGGGTTAATATAATTTTATATATTTATCATTTTATAGAACACCCTACAAACAACATATGCAAAACAACAAATTAGACGCACATCTTTATAAATGTACAGAAAACGACTAGACATTAGAGAAGATGAGAAAAAAGAAAAAAGAACACAACAGAACAGAAGAATAAGGAAACACACATCCAAAACAATATGATTTCGTATCATCAACACAGACCACAGCAGTATGGTCGTGTTAAATTCGAATATTGTTCTTGACCATATAAGAGAGAAACGTGTACGAACAAAACTAATAAACAGAAAAAGATTGAATTTCAAATTTTATATAGTACAATATTTCGTAACTTTTCTAATTGGATTCGTTGTCGTTGATATATTATGCGTAACATCATGAAAATCAAGTGCTAATCAGTAAACATGCAAATTTAGAAAGATAAGTTTTTTTCATTTTTTGTTGTTTCTTAACTAACCATGTCTATATCATTTGTTTAATCAAGCATTTTTATCTTTGATTTCCTGTATTTGTTGTTCTAAAGCTAAAATTTTCTTTTTATCTATGTCGCGTTCTTCAATCCATTGTTTTTCTTTCAGCTTATTTATATTTATTTGTTCAACTCGTCCAATAAAATCATTATCATCTGTCATCATTGTTAATGCTCGTTGTGCATAAAGCTTTGTTGACATTGGATCAATAAGTGTTCTGACTGTTGAATTTATATCATGTCTGGTTAACATATGTGATATTAAACTTTGAAGAGTTTCATATAAATGAGCAAATTCATAATCAAGTATCATATCACTTGATTTTGATAATTTTAATTGTGGTTTTTGTAAAGCTTTTGCATAAAATTCAGACTTTGATAGTATTCCAAGTTTTTCTAAAAATGAATCAATTCGAATACGTTCATCTATTAACTTCACAAGCGATTCACTAGAAAAAATAATACAAACTCAAGTAGATTCTTAGAAAAGTTTTCTTACGTTGAATATAATTGTATTTGATTATTATTAAAAACTAGACATAAACCTAAAGCAAATGAACATAATGACTGAATAAAAAGTTCACGATCATCTGCAATCGATTGAGTACATATTTGTGAAACCAACTTAAAAGGAAGAAAAATTTAGAAAAATTTTGTTTATTAAAAATTTCACATACATATGAAATGCTATTTTCAATTGAAAATAATGTTTGTACTGCTAATGAACAGTTTGATAACCATGTACATAGAAAAATGAGTACAGCAATACGAGTGCAAAACGAAGATGAAGACTATTGACAACAAGAAAAAAAGAAATATACAAGGGTGAGTGGCAATAAGGCCATTTTTTTATCTTCCCTTACTTTCACATAAAAACCGTCTAGGCATAGCAAGTCAACCATGAGCAACATTTTGTGCGACTCAGTTTTACGAAATCCGTCTAACTGATTCTTCGACCCTGTACTTCCCTCGCCTAAGGAATTGGTGGGCAATTTCTTTTGTCTCTGTTTATTGCAATAAGCATATCACTCGATGTGGAATTTCATGCTGATTACGAATATCACCTTAAAATTGCGAAAATATGAAGCTCTCATCTAGTTTTGATCGTCAGGTAATATTAAAAAGAAATCTGAAGTAGTCAAACAAATGTTTTTACACACAAATATTGATGATCCATCCAACGCATATAAAATGACGATCGTAAAAGTTCAAGTTCAGTCGTTTTGGGACTCTATCTAAACTAAAAGCTTATTCGGAAATCGCTGGTTTCTTACAAATTGACACCTTTCCTGCTCGGTAATTCGATCGTGGTCCGATGCTTTGTGTATATGTTTCGATGTAGTTTTTTATACTGATTTCGAAAATAAGTTTGAAAACGAAAAATAAAGAAATACAAAACGCTCAATTTGGCGGACAAGTAGAGAGAATCTGGTTTTCTACGCATATTCGCTTGACTCAGACTCAAAAGCAGCTTCAGATTTCAATTTAAACGTCATATTCGGAGTTAGCAATAAAAACTACATCTGAGAACTTATTTCATATACAGTGAAACCTCTTTTCCCACACCCACACCCACACCCATCCACACCCACACCCACACCCACACCCACACACCCACACCCACACCCACACACCCACACCCACACACCCACACCCGGGTGCGTCATAATAAATGGCCCACTTTTGCATTTCACTTTTTCATCACTTAATAAGTTGTATTAAAAAAACAAAATATATCACAAGATGCAGAGTGAAAAGCTCTACAATCTACAAACTAAAACTTATTTTAATTGTATACTTTTTGTTTTGAAAAAAAGCAAAACTCTGTGTGATTAATTTTTGCCACTTCGAAAACTGAATTCACAGAGTTTTGCTTTTTAAAAAAAATAAAAGTACACAATAAAAATAAGGTTTTCTTTGTAAATTGTAGAGCTTTTCACGCTGCACCTTGTGATATATTTTACTTTGTTTTAAGAAAATATATTGGTAAGAAAAAGATGATATAAGAAATACAAAATTTCTCGTTCGTCTAGAAAAAAATGATTTTTTCACAACGGCGAAAATTGATCGCACAGAGTTTTACTTTTTTTTGAAAACAACAACTATACAATTAAAATAAACTGTTCTTTGTAAATTGTAGAGCTTTCCACGCTGCATCTTGTGGTATATTTTGTTTTTTTAATACAACTTATTAAGTGGTGGAAAAATGAAATGCAAAAGTGGGCCATTTATTATGGCGCACCCGTTACTTACTACAATAGACAGAGACAGAAAAAAGTTGTCCACCAATCCCTGCGGCGAGGTAGATGCTGGGTCGAAAAATCGGTTAGATGAATTTCGTAAAACGGAGTCGCACAAAATGTTATCCATGATTGACTTGCTATGTCTAGGCGGTTTTTATGTGAAAATAAAGGAAGATGAAAAATGGCCTTATCGCCGTTCATCCTTTACAAGAAAAAAAATTTTCTTTTTATTTACATTTTGCAATAAATCAATTGATATTTCCATTAATGTTTTAGCATCTGTTTTCGATTGATCAACTACTAATCTCACTTTAAGTAGTGCTTCTTTATATAGTTGACTATCAGCAATTAAGTGTGAAAGTGCAATACCAGAACACCATGATGCAACAATATCTTTACTTAAATATCCAATCATTAATATATGACCAAACGTATATTGATTAGCAACTAAATAATATTAAAACAATTGGTTTCTTTCTTCTTTCGAAAAAAAAACTAATTAACCATTCTCAGTTTGAGGGAAAAGTGTTTGAACAATCATTGATTTTCCAAAATCATTATTATATAGATAACATTGTACACAATATAGTATTGATATTCGAAGTCGAAATGATTGTTTTTTATCAGCCGCCATTACGCATAACATATTGAAAAATATAGGTCTGGAAAAAACTCAATCAATATAATAAACCCAAAATATTTCAAGTTTTACTAACTGCTGAACTTCAGCAGTTATATCCATAATAGAACCAAGAAACTGCTGATTTTCAATATTACCACGAACAATATCAGCAATCGTATTAATAGTCTGTAAATATTAAAAAATATATTGATTGAAATAATGAAGCTAGACTTACTTCAGATAAGATATCATCAGGAACAGTGGTAAGCATAAGCATGATACATAAACGACGTAATATACCTTTAGAAAAAGTATTAAGAAACCTTACGATAGAAATGGATATTAAAGGAGATGATCTTCTTCGATATATTGATCAAAACTATCTACGTCTTCATAGTATTCTGAAGTCATCAATTGCTGAGACGAAATATCTTATGAGCAACAAACTAAAACAGCTGAAGTGAGAAGTATACAATGGAGAATTTTTTTCATTCGTGAAGATGAAGTCTCGTGATACATTCGTTACTAATATCTTCTTTTTATTAAAAATTAAAAAGATACTGCGAAAGCTTGTTCATAGTCGACCTTTTCATCCTGCATGAATTCTATTAAATACTTTCTTTCTTTCTTTTTATTTCTCTTCTTACCACATTGCTTAACTGTACGTTGACATGCAATAATATTTTCATTAGAATTTGTTGGTGATACAAGTGTTTGAATTATCTTAATATCAATAAATAAATAAAGATTATAATTATGATTTGTATTAGAAAAATAATTTTTATTTTATTTTTTACTTTTAATAAAAGATGAATATTTGTCACTTTTTGTATAGACCAAAGTTTTTCGCCAATTAGACCGCGTTCAAAAAAACTGAATAGACGTGGAATATAAGAACGTCTACGAAAATAACTCTGATTTGATTGATTACTTTCGAATAACGTCAGTATAATAGATAAACAATCTTCGATAGTAACATCTATTTTTAATAGATATTTAAAAAAATTGGTTTTATGTAACGTGCGCATAATGCAAAAATTGAATAAATTCTTTTCTCACTCCTTTATATACCATTCGGTAGAGCACGAAAATTTGGTCAGAGATATATTATTTTTCAGTCGATTGGTCCATGTTTTAAGGGAAAAAAACAAGTTTTTGTCAGAAATTCTCAAGTTTTTTGTAGCTGAGGTTTCAGTAACTTTTTAAAAGGATTATTTTCTCATTCGGTATAAAAACATTAGTTAAAAAATGTTATTTGAATGAGTTTAAAATAGAAGTGTTGACCGACATGGACCTGTCAAATGAGGCTACTCAAATACGTCTGTGTTGTATTCATAGACACCCAGGTCGATCATTCCGACCGTCGGAAACGGCGCCTTATCCGGCCTGAAACGGCTATAAATCGCGAATAATTGTCTTAATCTTGACCTTATTTCGCCGTAATCCGTCATACCGTTTTACGAGCCATTTTTTTCGCTAGAAAACGTCCATCGTTTTCCCCCGGTTTTGCTTCCGTAATCTGGTATGACGGATTATGGCGCCGTTTTACACCGTTATTACGCTGTTTGAAACCGTTTACGACGCCGTTTTATTGGACCTGGGCAATTTTGTAAACCTTTCTATTATCGCTTTCAAAAAGCAATGGGTATGACTGTTTTTCGAATAACTAGAGAACAACAAGAGATAGAAGACTGCGGTTTTTATTATTCGAAATAAAATATTCTGGAGCATGAATGTATATCATATTTCATTAGTCAACCATCGACTCATCAGGTGAGTTCTTAATGGAGATCTTAAAAACGATATTCTGAAAAGGTTTCCATTGAGCTTTGACTTTTGATTTGACCATTCAATAGAGAAAATTGTTCTCTTTCAATCTACACAAGACCGGCCTTGCTAGCTTGTTCTGCTCAAGAGTTGTAAGGATTTTTTACAGACCTCCGATTTAGGTTAATTCACCATGCTGAGCTGAGTGGTGATATTTGTTTTTACTTTCAAACCAATCTCAAACCACTATATCAAGGTTTTCGAAATATTGACTTTACGCTATATAGCGGCAAGATGTGAAGGTTGAAAAATCTGTATATCATGGTCTGAGATCGGTTTGAAACTAAAAACAAATATCACCACTCAACTCAGCATGGTGAATTAAAAGAAATTAGAGGTCTCTGAAAAATCCTTATAACTTCTGAGCAGAACAAGCTAGCAAGACCAGCCTTGCCTAGATTGAAAGAGAACAGTTTTCTCTATTGAATGATCAAATCAAAAGTCAAAGCTCAATGGGAAACCTTTTCAGAATATTGTTTTTAAGATCTCCACTAAGAACTCACCTGATGAGTCGATCGCTGACTAATGAAATTTTGGCACATATTCGTGCTCCGAAATGTTTTCCTTCGAATGATAAAAATCGCAGGTCTCTATCTTTTGTTGTTCTCCAGTTACTCAAAAAATAACCACACCAGAGCTAGGACAAGTACAAGTACAAATACTTTCGCCCAAAGCTCTGAACCACGCCCATTGCTTTTTGAAAATGATCTTAGTTTTTTGTATTAACAGATAGGATCAAGTTTCATATCTCATTATAATCGCTAGACATTGACCATCAAACATATTCTATTAATTCTTCTCGATTTTGTTTTTATATAAAGGAGTTAAAAAAAAGAATTTATTAGAATTTTGTATTACGCACAAGTTAAAAAAAGCTTTTTATTTATTTACTTCCATCACTGCCATATTTACTAACAAGAATTCGAAGTAAACGTTCAAAACCATATTCAAGTACAAATATTCCTTGTATACACCAATTAGAACGAATTAAGACTTGAAAAAGTAGAAGTGCCTAATAAATTAATTAAATACCGGATGTGCCAAAAGTTTTGCGACATTTGCTCTTTTCGAAATATTTCAGCTGAGAAGTGATAGATGATTCTAAGTTTCCCATCAGGATATGCAGCATTTTAGCCTCTACAAAACCCTATTAATCTAAATTCAAAATAATAGAAAAGACATTTTTTTATAGAATACATTATGCGGCTCAGCAAATGGAGCTTTGGTTTCATCTATTTTTTTAATTATGTATTATTTTCATGAAAACAAATATTTAGTTTAAAAAAAACTAAATTTCTATTAAACAGCTGTCGAAAAGCTCTAATAAATGTGTATATTTTTAAAGTATATTTTAATGTACATCGTGTTGGCTAAAACGCATGCGCTATTTCGAAAACAGCAAAATTGCCTTGCTATATTACTCGTTTTCAAAAAGAGATCTTAGTAATGTTGTTTATGGTGAAATGGACCCTGTTTTTATGGAGTTTTGTGTACAAGTGTTTTGTCTCTTTATTTACCGTTTAGATAACTCTTGGTAAAAAGTTAACTAAATAAAAGATTTAAATATTATAAAGAAGGTAATTTTTCTTGCAGTAAATCACATAAGTTATTCTTGCCTCACTAATATAGATTGTAATCAAGCATTTAGAAACTCTACTGAAAGAGCATTCAGTAATGACTCGAATTCCAAGTAGCAAGTTTTCTGCGCGTCCCTTCATAACTTGCGAAGAGTGATGCAAAAAAGTAAAAAAAATAGGTGGGACAAAAACTCCGTCTACCGAACAACAGAACATAGCCTATAAAAAGCCTCTTGCCTGTTGTTTTAAATTTAGATTAATAGAATTTTGTAGAGATTGAAATACTGCATCATCTGATAGTCAACTTAGGACCATCTATTAATTTTCAACTGAAATATTTCGAAACGAGTAAATGTTGCCAAACTTTTGGCACACTCGGTAAATATTTTCTTTAGTTCAATAAAAACACTTACATCGTTTCGAATAACTTCACGTTTATCTTCTAGAAGATCAAGTAATTTTGAAAAACCCGCAGGTCCGCTTTCCAAAATAATATCTTGTAACTCTTCAGTACAATTTGTAAGAAGTGCAGTGAGAAATCGAATAGCTGCACGACGAACATTAAAATTAGTTTTCTAAAATTTTCCCTTTAATAATAGAAAATCTCTGAACTATTAAAAAGACTCTTACTGCAATAAGTTCAAGAACTACATGAACACGTTTCTTATTTTGAATATATAATTCTAAAGAACAAACTTTTTCATTTATTCTTTTTCTCTAGCCGATAAAACTTTTACCTGTAAATTGAACAGTAATACCTTGCGGTAAATCTGATTGTTCTAGAGAACAAACAAATGCAATGAAAACAAAAAAAAGATCATAATTAATAACATACCTTCATCACTACCAACATCGTATGCAATCAGATTGGTTAATGCTTCAAGTACCAATTGAATAGAATCCAAATCAGTTCTATCACCTTGTAAAATATTTGCTAATAATATTATACTTTTAGTACCAACTTCAAGTTTGCATTTCTGTTAATTTTTTTCAGATAGAAATATATTTGAGAATTGAAAATCTTTTTTTTACTAACTTTAGAAAGTACTTCAAGGGCATACACAGTATCTCGTCGATCTTCGATTCGTGTAGCTGATTGTAGACGATCACAAAGACTTTCAATCTGTAAATACAAGAAGAATTTGTGAAAGTAGAAAGATGATATTTGATGTTTATCTATTATGATCATTTTTGAAAGCAAACTAGCAAGAACTCTCAGTTTATTGAATGAAATAAAATGAGAAATGAATGAAAATCACTATTATGTCTTACTGTTTCTTGATTGATTGTATTATTATTTGTCATTCTTGATGATGTTGTAGGCGAAAAAAGAGAACGAAGGAGCAAGAAGACTATTTTATGCCACAAATAATATTGCAAGTTTTCTTTCTTATTAAATCTAAAATTAATTTCCATCTGAAATCAGATTATGCGTTCATGCCACATACAAGCGTCGTCATGATACAATGGAGGATTTGTTTGACCGATACAAATAGTGATTAAAAGATGTCGCTAACAAACGATTATTTGTGATTTTCTAGATTTTTACCAAACCAAATAAGGCGTAAACTTGAACAGTGAAACGAAATGTGTCATACGATAACTTGATTACATCTATTAAAAATATTAAAATTATATTTGAGGAATTTCATTACATGATTCGTCATAATCTTTGAAGTAATTCAAATGATGATGCTTTCCACAAATGATTCAATCATGAGAATTCGCATACAGGATAAATATGACTTAAATGTAACTCGTAATATCATAAAATGCCAGTATCACATATCACAGTAACGATGAGTATGATAAATTCGCCTTCGATATAGTTCTTGTAATTCTCTGTCAGGTATCAATCAGAGTTTCGAGCGGCATGGGATAAGACAAATAAATCGTCACATGAAAGAAATTGGTTTGCCCCATCCCATCTCATGGGCTTCACGGGACAAGTCGTCTAGAAAAAAAAGTTTTTTTAGCTGCTGATCAACTTCTATGACTTTATTATTCAATCATCTGAGTTTCCCTCTATCTGTTTGTTCCATCAGAGCAGTTTATTTGACATTTTAATCTATACTAATCATCCCATGTTGCGAATGCCGGACCATTTTTAGCGGTAAACCGTGGTATTCGTCAAAACCGGCGGTTTACCGCGGTAAATTCCATCATTGGGAGCCGATAACCGGACCGGTAAAACCGCGGTAAACCGCCGGCTTTATTCCGGTTTTTATCACATGGGATATAAATCTGTTACTGCATTTGACAAAAAACTGCAGATTTTGAGTAGTAGGATCGCGATGAACTTGTCGAATTTTATTGAGAACCATTTGAATTTATTTGACTACGCCAGAACGCAGAATCCATTATTTCTTTTAAAAAATTTCAATTCTATGTCTCTAAGCTTTAGGAAATAATATACTTCTTCTCCAGTATATTTTTCACCCATGAATCCTCACGTTCTGATTACTTTCGTTAGTGTTATCAGATTGCTATGGGTCAGTGAAGACCCTTTCATAGTATCGTGTAATCTGGTGGAGTTCTTCAGACCTCTACGGACTCTGGTGAATTTCATAATACTTGAAATTCAGTAGAATCCATTAGTATTTTCTATCTATCTATTAATTTTCTCTAAATTAAAACTTATACAAAATCGTATTGAAAATTGATTGGAAGTAAAAATTTCTTACATGCATTTCTTATTATCCATATAATGAATAGTTATGGGAAGAGACTATTAAAAAATATAAACTAAATTTATGTTTGAAGAATATCGAACTCTACAAAAATAGTTTCATCTTTCTTTGTTTAAAGTTCTGTAAAAGGGTTGAAAAGTTTTTCATGAATAATAATGCAACAAAGTCAGGAACGAAACTGTTTGTGTTAAAGAAAAAGATCAACAATGAGAGTATAATAATGAAGTACCATGAGTTCATATTTGGACGGAAAGAACTTATGGTTTTTCATAAGAGAATAAGATGAAAATCCCATGGAACGAGAAATTCGTCCCATCTTATCTTATAGAGTATTCAAAAAAAAAGAAATTGTTTTATGGGATCGGATGGGATTGTCCCATCACGTTCGGAGCTCTAATATTGATACTACTTTCACATATTAGCACTTAAAGTGTTAATGATTTCCTCCAATTTTTTTCTAATTAATCAGAATTATTATGTATAAAAACGAGTGTTAATTGTTCGAATGCAAAAGAATTTGTTGATTTCATGATTAAATTGAATTAAATAATAAAATCTAGTCGTGTTTACAATATACATGAAACAAACTAATTAATATCCAAAAATCTGTTACAATCAGAAGTGATCACGAAGGCGTGATTATCAAGATAAGCACCCATGTGACAACTTAAGCGAAAAATCTTGCTTAAAATAGGTTGGTTTTCTCGCTGAAAAGCACTTACAGATGGATATTTAGGCACTTTGAAGCGTTGACGTTGCAAGCCATACAAGCTCGATTTATCATTCACTTCCAGTAGTAAATAATGGTTGTTAATCACTTAGTATTAGAAATCAGTTTTGCGATCGAATCAACGTCATTTAATTGGTTCATGATAAGTCCGTTTTAATATTATACTTTTTGAGACTCGTATGTTTTATCCTTTGATATCCACTGTACAAGTTAACGTAAGCTAGTGGTTCCGATGACATATTCTCGAAGATAGAGAAAACTGAAAAATTTAAGTCAGCTAGAAGTTTTTGTACAGTATACATGGGTGAATCCATGGGTATCCAACCAGTTTTTTGGAAAAAGTTTTTTTATTTACTTTTTTCGTTCTAGTTAGCTGGGTCGTGGTCATAAAACAGCTTTGGCCGAAAAAAACTGCTGACTTTGACCTTATATGGGGGAGATCTGAAGCTTTTTCTAGGAACATCTAATGAGGGTCACCCAAGTTATTTCAAGATTTTGGGCTCATATTTGCCCATTAGTAGAGAACCATTAGACTAGCATAACCTGCAAAGGATTCTTCTTTTGATTGACATTTGGCCGAGATATGAATGCTTCAAAACGTAGTATTTTTAGAAAAATTATAAAAAAAATGAAAAATCTATATTTTGAAACATTCATATCTCGGTCAAATGCCAACAAAAGAAGAGTCCTTTGCAGGTTATGCTAGTCTAATGGTTCTCTACTAATGGGCAAAATATGAGCCCAAAATCTTGAAATAACTTGGGTGACCCTCATTAGATGTTCCTAGAAAAAGCTTCAGATCTCCCTCATATAAGGTCAAAGTCAGCAGTTTTTTTCGGCCAAAGCTGTTTTATGACCATGTTACAGTGTGTTCTACTGTAACGTATACCTCGATTCTATCTATTCTCTTTTCTTTTGTCTTTTCGTTTTCCTCTATTTTCTTGTCTTTGTTTTCGCGTGCTTATATAAACGTTTGTTTTCTAACAGAATAAACAGAGAGAATAAAACACACACACACACGTTAACTGTGTTCGTCGCTCTTCGTGAGCGAGAACGCTAACATTTGGCGACCCTGGCGAAACAAGAACACTAAAATTATCGAACAACAAATTTATTAAAATTCATTAAAATTATATTAACATGTAGCTGATAAGAGCCTCTATGGAATTGAGACTCGTGACAAGATCACGACTGATCAATTTATTATACAAGCGAATATCTCTCTCTCTCTATAATCAAGTGGAAACACAAAGAAAAAAAAATATTTTTTTTCGTTAAACATATCAAAAGCACACAATATCTGCTAGTTATTATTGATATGATAATTTTAATAATCGAGCAAACGTATGTTCCTGAGGATCTTTTGCCGAAAAGATCCGCTTCAAAAAAAATGTCAAATTAAATGGAATAATTATTTATCATTCGATTAATCTGATTTAATATAATTTAGCATAGCATGATCGGGGAGTATGACTTTTCCCAGCTCACTGGTTATGAAGGGTTATTATATTTAATTAGAACATTTTCTATTAATACAAAATTATTCTATGATACGAAAATTAATTATTGGATACAATTAATGTTCAATTTATTCTGGTCAGATTCTTAACCGCGGAACTGAGAATCGAAAAGAAACCAATATTTCGTAACCTGTTTTTCTTGGCATATTAAAGAATCTATGAATCATATTATTTTTTTTCTTGTCACTTAAAACAAACAAAATTATTACATATAATATTAGATTATTTGCAGTTAATGTGAATATAAACGAGTTGATAAAGTTAAACAACATCAAACAAAAAAAATCAACTTTATACGTCGAACAACATCTGACTGAAATTCATTCATTTTCTTTAGATGAACATCATTTCTTTTAGTATCATAGTGAACTTCTATTCTTTCTTTTGTGCGCGTTTTTTCTTGTTGCTCATGTCTACACATATTACCATTAAATATGTGGTCTATTTCTGTTATTTTTTTTTACCTTTGTTAAACATTTTTTTCTTTTTCATATTTCGTTTACACTTTATTTTTCTCATACTCTGTCTCTCGCATTATAGTTTGTTATTCTTTTTGCATTTGATGTTACTCATTTTCCATTTCTCCGTGTTATATTTTTTTTCTGTTTAAAAATGTTGATAGTACACATTTTTTTGTTCGATAGGGGAGTATGTTACGGTGTGTTCTTCTATAACATCTACCTCGATCCTATCTATGCTCTTTTCTTTGTTATTTTCGTTTCTTTTATTTCTTTCCTTTGCACTTGATTGACCTCTATATTCTTCTATATTTTGTCCTTAATTTTCATGTGTGTATATAAACACTTGTTTTGGAAAAGAATAAACAGAGAGAATAAACCACACACACACACACGTTTACTGTGTTCGTCGCTCTTTGTGAGCGCGAACGCTAACAGTCATCGTAATCCCCATTTTCTATTTAAAATCGAGAGTTATTTTTGCTTTAAATTCAAATTGAACTAAAACTGCACATTGTATGGAGCATATGCACTGCTGGAAACCTGCCATATCGACTTTTTGTAGTTATGCTCTCAAATAATTTCCAAGTGTCATCGCATCGTAATAAAACACCACGAAGACTATGAATTGGTCTTTCACAAGTATTCACACTAATGGCATTATCGCAAGCAAATACTTCGTGAAATACTCACTTAACGAAACCTTTTCGATAAAGTTTATCATTTTATTTTCCGTATAATCAAATCTTTACGGATGGTTGAAGAATGCAACAGCGAACGGTTTTATTTTTACGATGGAACTCACAAACGGGATTGGCAATACAAACAAGAGATGCCTTGTGAGCTGTGTAGCTTCATAGTAGTTAATTCCTGATATTCATTTTGTAAAGGACTTCGAAACGTTTTC